ACTAGTAAGTAGTAATGGAGGTGATCCAGTAGTAAGCACTAATATTAATTCTCAAGTAGTAACCACTGATTTTATATCCCCAGTAGTAAGGAGCAGTAATAGAAATATTTTAGGACTTTGTAGTTTTTTGTGTTGAGGGGGGGGGAGCGGGGAAATAAAGACGGGAAAATGAGAAAAAATTGACACCCGGGGAATTGCCAATAACTTGCGACTAAGGGACTTACCATTAATAGTCCTATTGTCAGAAACCAACGATAGAGCCCATCAGTAACTAAACACCGATACTACGGTTCTATCATGTAACCTCTACAGTAAAGAATCTCGACACAAATCACTTCAATGCAGTTGGATAGAAGCTTCATGACGCAAGGGTCACCATTCTCATCTACTTCAGCATGGAATGGTGCCCAAGAAACGATTTTTGTTTTCTGAATCATGATTGAAGGCATTGGAGCACTTGGTCTCCTCGGACTGCCTTTTGTCACCACAGAGATGGGATAGGACTCAATTACTAGTACTTTAATATCCTGTTAACCCAAATGAAGTATTTTTTTATTTACCTCGAACCATTTTACAAAATATCTACACATTGAATTTCGTTTACAGTTTGTCGCGTATTGTGTACTCGCCAAACGAATGCAATTCACGAATAAACGAATAAAAAGAATGTCGCGTGTTTTCTATGAGAGGCAGGTTTGACTCGCTCATTCTTGCTATCGAAACCGAGCACACGAGAGCCGATTTTAAAAACTTTGCGGGAGGCCATTGGTAAAAGTAGGAGGCGTAGGTCTCTGGACGTTTGAAGCGACATCTAGAAAGAAATGAATCGGAGAAGGACAGAAAATAACCTTGTTGTGAGAGAGGTGTATTCACGCAAGAATCAATCGATATCGATCGGGGAGAGACACACAAGCACAATCAAAAAGTGCATTCGAAACACCCACGTTCAAACAGATATTGTGAACACTTACATGCTGTGGCAGAAATCGTTGTTTCAAAGAGGAATGCACACGGACAGGATTTCAGTGTGCGGTATGGTTCCCATGGCAGCAAAGGAGGTCAACACCAAGAGTGAGAGAAAGACGAAAAAGTTTTTGGTTAGAGACACTTGTCCGACGGCAGACGATGGGAGAGGAGGAAAAGAGTGTTGCGCATTTGGATCATCCCGACGCTTGGACCCAGCCCTGAACGGAACACGATCAGTAAAATTTGTGATTCCCTCGTTCTGCTTCACTTACTCACTGCACACAGCACGAGAGGATGGAAAGAAACGAAGGAATGCTGTGAGTCAAAACATCATCCACGGGGCACTGCAAGATGACCGAGCACAAGACAACTTTCACCCAGAGTTTCTTCTGGTAGTACTGTACTTACATGTTGCCGGAGTTGGTAGCTGGCCGCCTGCATCTTCAACCGCTGCCACGGAGGGTCCCAGAACAAGATCTGAAATCGTTGCAGATGTTGGAGGAGGCGTTGGATCAAGGATATTAGCCGCTCCCGGGACAGTTGCTGCAGGAGCAAACGTCACGATGAAAACTGGTACAGGCACCGGAGCAAGGGTCTGGGGCGTAAATGGTGGCGATATGGGCATTGGGGGTATGGATGGTGGGAAGAACACAGGGAAAGGTGTTGGGACAGGGGCTAAAGTGGGAACAACAGGAGCTTTCGTTGGCGCATCGGTAGGCACTACGGGCATTTTCGTTGGCGAAAGCGTAGGCTTTCCAGTCGGTCTTAGAGTAGGCCTCAACGTTGGCTTTCCTGTAGGTTTTTTGGTCGGCTTTCTGGTCGGCACTCCGGTTGGCTTCTTGGTCGGCTTTCTAGTCGGTACTCTGGTTGGCTTCTTGGTCGGTTTGCGAGTTGGTTGCTTAGTCGGTTTATGCGTCGGCCGGCCAGTTGGTTTCTTGGTAGGTTTGGCTGAGGGATACTTTGTTGGCTTAAAGGATGGTTTCTGTGTTGGAGATTTTGTCGGAGGTAGAGTTGGATACTTAGTCGGAACTTTTGTTGGTTTTTGCGTCGGAAAATTTGTTGGAGCCCTCGTTGGCCATTTGGTAGGCACATCCGTGGGCACTGTTCGAACAATATTATTGATTTCAGTGGTACTTGAACTCGAAGTAGCAGTCCCTGCTGGAGTTGGTGCCGGAGTCTGGGCATTGCTGACACCTGCGATCACGGCTAACAAGCAGACAAGTAGAAATCGACTGGTTACAAACATCTTTGTTCTCTTCAGTGTAGCAAATCTGGAGGGATCTTTCCTGCGATTGAGTTGTGTTTTTCTTTACTGTGATACAATGTGCGAAGTAGTTGTAATGGTTAGGTGTTATTCTGTCTCAAAAATTTGGATACCACAATGCGGAATAATAGATAAGATGCCTTTTAAAGTTGTGAACGTTTAGTTATTTCTCAACTTTACAGGAAGCAACTTGTGATGTGGAATCTAGAATCTAGGGGCTCGTCTGCGAAGAGATGTCAATCAAGTCGACCAAAACTAACACGAGGCGATGCAGTTTTCGGCCTTCGAGCTATGTGTGGTGCTCTAATTCGTTTCAGATTTTTGTCCCCCCACTACGTGACGAAGTAGATTTTGTTCTTTCTTAGTCCTTCGAGAATTAATTGTTCGGAAGGCCGACCTGGGCCCTGCGAATTCGATCCCAATTATGCTGATTTCCAGTGGGACGCCTACGTTGTTTTTATGTTGGTTGTCACAAAAATCTTTCGGTTGAAAGTTTTTGGCGCGCGTGGTCGTCTTTCAAATTTTCTAAACTTAATTGTTTTTTTGGTACTTAATTCGTCTGTGACAAACACGATTGTATGTGACGAAAAGAAGCGAATCTAGCTTCCTTAAGATTGCACGTGCATCTGAGAGAAACACATGACTGCTGTTTAAAAAATACTGTAGTACAACTAAGTAGTAAAAATGCGGTACTGTACCGTAAGTCGAGTTCTTAGAGTAACGAACCGGAAGCTGCATTTTTCTGAAAGTTTCCTCTCTGTCACGATACTTTTTCATAATAGTATGGTATTGCCTAAAACAAAAAACACGATCGTGCACAGTTTAGGTCCTTGACCCATCGAAACCTCATATTTCCATCCTCGACGGGAAACACAAAAGAAACATTAGTTAGTGCATAATCCATCCTGAAAGCAGTTAAATAAGAACTATTAGTGGGCTCGCTGTCTTCTTACCTAATGAAACTTTTAATCCATTCTAGAATGAAAATTCCGTGACTTAACACTAGGCTTATTTTTTCTTAAGCAACATCGAAAATTTCGACCCCTGCAGTAGCAATCGACCTAATTAACGAGGGCCACACCAACGAACTTCAACATTCGGAAATATCGATTTTTTTAATATACGGAACGGTATGTATAATATGTACGTACGGTACGTATGTGTAGTCTTAAACCGGGACTTGATTTTTTTGCGTTCCAGTTGGTAGGACTAACAAAACGACTAACAAGGTGATACTCCGACCGTTTCACCTGCAAATCGATCCGAGGAGAACTTGAAAAAGAAATGATGCCATCGGAAACCAGTGTTGCCAAAATTGTCCACCGTATCCAGCATTCGAAGAAATAACAATTTGTGCCATCTACCATCGCGAAGTCGGATTGCTGCCCGACGGTTAACGATTCCCATTCCCACTTCGGCATCAATCATGTCACAGGACACGAATAAAATCGGTGAACACATTTCCGTGCTGCTGGGAATACGAGCATCGTATCTCGCATGGCATCGACAAGATGAAATCCACATTGACGTGTTATCCAAATAATAGAATCCAAATAATAGAACGATGCAAGCGAGGATCTAAGAAGGATAATACAGTCAGTAATAAACAGATTAAATATGAGTTCTGGTGAATTCTGCGATAATATTGATTTGCCATTTCCGGAAGAAATTTTAGTGATTCACAATTGGCAATGGCAGCTGCAACGACAGCGACAGCTTCAAGACAAGATGAAAAACAGAAATTCGGTGGTTTTTACAGGAATAGTTTTAAGTGTATTGGTTGTGATTGCTTCGATTGCTTGCGTTTCCGCCCGGTTGATTAAGAATACAAACATAGAGTACCGAAATAGTGAAAGCGATAGAATGGATTGGCATTCTATCCCAGGTGATGACCACGATCAAGACGACAACAGAAATACTTACGAAATTATGATACTGCCAGATAGGGAAAGGGACGATGTATTGATGGATGATGAATATAATAGCAATTTCGATATCTCCCACGACAGAGGTGGCTTCGACCAGTATAAGAAAGGAAAAATAGGTGTTGATCTCAGTCTTTACGTTTGTCCACCAGCAGGTGAACACCTCGAAATCAATTTTTCTGACATTATTCCCTTCAGAAGTGCTGATCGATACCACAGGATCATGTTGGAAAATAGCTCTCCAGGAATTCTGTGCACTCTTGTGGAGGTAACGGTGGAAGGTGATTTGCAACTCAAACCGATTGGAAGATCGTATAACGGGCGGGGATGGGAACCATATAGAGGTCAGCATTCTGGAACTACCGACATCATACCCACTTCTTGCTCAGACGATAGTTCAACCGATTGTCTCATTGACCTCCCTCCACTTTCGGTTGAACGTAAGTACGCGCTGAAATCCTATAGATACTCGCTTGGATCTAGGGACGAGGCTGCTCGATTCCTGGAACGAACCACTTTCGGTCCCACTACGTCCGAAATCAATGCCTTTGTCGCCGATGGGAGCAACCATACCAAGTGGATAACAGATCAGATACAACTACCAATCACATCTCATCGTCAATTCTTTCGAGAGCGAGCAAATAATTTTCATGGAGAAACAACTTGGATGGGAACCCTTGACTTCGGTCCGTGCCAACGGGGGGCGCGATACCGAAGGTTCGTTTTTGTCGCAAAAGACATAGGGCGATATCTAACGATTTCTACAAGCTCGATCGATGCAAATTATAAAGTTTTGTCCGTAGGAGGGCATGTCCGATCGGTCATTCCAGGACGAGTAAAACGAAGGGTCAGCACTAACAACAAATTGGTCGTGCCCGATGGAAGGTAAGAGCCAAGTGTCCGGTACTATTGCCAAAGTGTTTACCGTTTCGAAAAAAATCATCCAACAAAATTTCTCACCACTCCAGTCCTCAACTATGATTAAAGCTATGAAATTTGTTCATTGGCAGGCGAACCATGCATTGGTAGTAACGTTGGTATCAAGTTCAACTCGACATGTTATGACGCCATTTTTGATGGAATTTATGGGAATCCAGTTCCAAAGCTCGACAAACAACACCTGTATCTTGTTGAATATATGGTGAGAATTGATGTCCAACATACAATGCCAGCAATGGCGGACTTTTTTGAGGGAGATACGCAAATCATGCAACTTGCCTCAGATATATTTGATGAAAGATGCCCAAAGAAAACAACAGGAGCTCCCGAAAAAGTTACGATTGCAACAATTGGAGAGGAATTCTGGATTCATACACCATCCTTTCGACTTCAAGACAACCGACTTGAAGCTCCACTGGATGATGGTGGAAGATCAGCCGTTGAAAAAAGCTCGACTGCTCCGTATGACCGAATGCGAGTTCATTGTTCAAACGCACCAAGGACATTTCTTAATGAAGATCACTGTCTTTGGTCAAAAAATGCTTGCTCGTCTTCGGAAGAACAAAAATATTCGAAAGCTGCAATTGTTTGTGGCAGTCCTTACGAAGTTGCGACTATCCACAGCATTGACTCGGGAATCCAAGGCCGCGGGGGCTTTGATCTCCTCACGAAGTACAACAGGACGCTACCGCTCAAACGCCTAGAAGGGCAAAGAGAGACGGTTTGGTTCGAAATATCACTGCAAGGTGAAGATCAATTACGACAAAGGATGGCATGGGCTCTTTCTCAGATATTGGCAATTTCTCCAGACTCGCTTTCGGCAACATTCCAAACCGAGAGTTTCCTGGCGTATTACGACATATTTGGTGAGTCTATTTTTATGCCTCTGTTTATTTCATGGCATTCAATAGACGATCCTAATAGTATTTAACTATTCTTTCTTTCAATTCAGTGAGAAATGCGTTTGGAAACTACTTCGATGTTTTGAAAGAGGTTACGTTTTCACCAATGATGGCAGAAATGCTGACGTACAATAATGGTGTCTCTACAGGACTTGCTTGGACAAAACTGAATAAACGTCACCACGCCGATGAGGTATGTCCGACTTTGGATTGAAACTTTACAAAAACGAACTTTTTTTTTTCCAATAATGTATTCTTGTAGCTGCTGACCTATTATTTCTCGCAGAATTACGCTCGAGAACTCTTGCAACTCTTTTCTATTGGTCTTTATAAACTCAATGACGACGGAACGACCCAAAAAGACCCAAGTGGCCACGAAATCCGAACCTATAAAAATCATGATATTTCTGAATATGCCAAAGTGTTCGTAGGATTTAAAAAGCAGAGGAAGCGAGGTAATATTGAAGATGGCGGACGTACACATCACGAGGAAAACGAAATCGATCCATTGCAAATAATTATAGAGAACAAAGACTATTTCCCGAAGGTACGTTTGGATCTAGATACATCGCATACCGTTCGTCATTTTTCTGTTTTCTTATCGCAGTTGCGACTTATTCTTCGCTGTAGCTTGGAATGGACAACAAATACGTTGGTGACGGCTATCCTCTTTGCAAGGATCTGCCTCCGCGAAACTTTCTTAGAAAAGGCGCCACATTCCGATTTGTTGGGTCAAATCCAATGCCTGAGCTCCTAAGCGAACCTGATGAATGGTATGGTAACGACCCGGTGCGTATTTCTCTGGATCCGTCATCTGTTTTGAGATCAAAACTTTGCAACAAGGGAGAGGGTAAAGATTGCGTTCCATCGATGAAGTTGATACTCGACTCTGATATTGACTGTTCAGGGGTAGAATGTGTAGTAGAAGAGCTTCGTACTTTCGAGGTCGAGGCTGGTTCTGATTTGTGGTTTGAATATATTCGTCCACCTTGTGTCAATCATGCATTTTATGAGAATGGGTTTTCTATTCGGAGACAAAGGGGCGAGATGGGACAAGCAATGTGCGGTGATCCAAAGACCTTGGCTGCATCTACTGTATGTTGTGACAGCTTTGATACATCAAGAGATAGTTTTGCACGAGAAGAATTGTTTACTGGAGAACGGTTGTCTTTTGCTTCAGCGAGAACCAGGTGCTCTTCGTCTGTAAATACTGAAATATGTGAAAACCCTTTTGTGACAGAAGATGATTGTAAAAATAATGGAGGTTGTGATGGTCTCGGGACATTTTATTGGTCTTCAGTGGGCTGTTCTTTAACAGCCAAGATAAATCAACAGGGAAAGATTGCTATTATTCATAATCCACAAATCGAAGGTACAACTACGCATAGGATGGTTCGAAATGACACTGAAATATTTTTTCGCGTCAATTGGCTTAATCATGAAAGCAACTCGTTGATTCAAGATCTCATCAGCAACTGCGCTAATTTCGGTTGCGTGGATGAAGGCGACAACCAATGTATTTGTTCCATATCAACGCGTAACACATTAGCATTTGTCAGTCAGGAAGATATAAAGTCTGCAGAGGAAGTCTTATCGTCCGCAACGGTTGGTGCATTGATTGAAAATGAAAGAAATTTCCTGCCCATACGTGAGGTGGACGGAGTATCGATATATCCCGACGGAGAACTTACTGAAGAAACGGTATTTCAATTGATTGATTCCAACGGTCGAGTTCATTACAGGAAAAATATAATCAGTGAAGTTCATATTGGAAGAGGATCACTGAAATTTCGAAACCCCGTTACATTCTATTCACTTTCGGAACCCACCATTAGAGATGCGAGATATGAAATCGACGCTGCGCTCCACCATTCTTTTTTTCACGAGAATATGGCAACCTTCTTAGCTATACGACTTGCTCAACGCTTTGGGGAATCCAACCCGTCGCCAAGATACATCAAGCAGATATCAATGGCATTCCGAACTGGTGCATATCAGCATTATTCTAGTGGATTGCAAATTGGAAGTGGTCGTTACGGTTGCCTCACGGCAACAATAGCAGCTATATTACTTGATAACGAAGTCGCAGATCCAATTCTGGACGCTGATCCTACCCAGTAAGTAATGGAGATAAGAGGAGAAAACGGCGTAGTAACATGACAGTCACTTTCGGAACTAATGGTGTCTTGTGCAACTTATCAGTGGGTCAATCCAGGAGCCATACTTGAAGTTAGTGAAGGTGCTGAGATCGCTCGAGTTTAACGCAGCGAAAGATCATCCGCTTTTGAGAGTAGAATCAGACTTGCAGGGACTTATTGGTCAGCAAAGTCACAAACTTCCAAGTGTCTTTTCTTTCTTCAAATCAGAATATCAACCAGCAGGTTAGTTCGTTATAATGATCGATTGTGTCAAAAAAATTCGACTTGTCATTTTTTCCCCTGATTGACATCTTATTTTTGCTACGTATCTAGGGTGGGTAACCATTGCTGGTATGAGCTCACCTGAGTCTCAAGTTCTTTCGGGGGTAACAAGTGTTCAAATGACGAACACAATCATCAGTTATCTCAAGTACGGTGTCACCTCTTGTTTTGGTGGATTTGGAGGTTCAAAGCCAAACAACTGCAGGGTAGGTGCAACATTCCCTAACAATGGCGAGAGCAGCTATGATCCAGGGAGCACCGGTTTAGCTTCGTCGATGGAGATCGTCGCAGAGCTCGCAACTCTTCTCACCAGCGGTCGATTAGGTGATGAAAAGCGTGAGATCATCAAAAATACCTACGAGGATACAATTGCTAGTGGAAAGTCTACAAAAGAAGCTCTTATCAATGCACAGCAGCTTATTATCACTTCTCCTGAATTTCATACTACCAACTTATGTCATACAATAGGTCGAAAGAGGTCTCTACCACTATTGCCAGAACCCAACAATAATCCATACAAAGCTGTGATTTTTATTATGCTTCCTGGAGGCTATGATTCCTTCAACGTTCTTGTTCCAAAGGAGTGCAGTGTCACAAATTCCCAGGGTAGAACTGTCCTCGACCAGTATATGGAACAACGTGGACCTGTTGCTTTCGATGAAGCGTCAGGAGAATTCAACTTGACGATAAATGCAACAGGATCACACCAACCCTGCAGTCAATTCGCCATTCACGATGAACTCACTGTTGTTAAGGACTTGTACGATTCCAACGACTTGGCATTCTTGGCAAATGCAGGTATCATCAATAATCAAGGCGTAAGTAATGTTGATGGTAGTTTCAATTTGTTTCTACAGTGTAAATGTTTGAATCACCAACTCACGTACATTTTTCTAAACGCTGATAGATGACCAAAAGTAATTACCATGATCTTACGCGTAGCCAACTATTTGCTCATAATATGATGCAACATGAAACTGCGAAGGTTGACCCTTATGACAAAATTGCGGGAACTGGCGTTATGGGACGAGCAAAAGATATATTATCGAAAAGCGGATATCTTGTCAGCACGATGTCAATCGACAATCCATCAATAGCAACAGAAGGTGTTCATGGAATGTCCCCACCATCCACTGTGATTGGGCGACGAGGATACCAGAAGTTCGCAACACGACCAAAAACTGAGTCTGATTTTGATATCGAACATTACGCCCGAATTTTAAACGGTGAAATGGACGCATTCAGTGGTATTTTTGGTGAAACCTGGTCACAACAATTCTCAACTGGCATTGAGGAGGCAGAATCATATCAATCGATTTTTGATCAAGCGCGATTAGATAATTCCATTTGGAAAACTAGCGGCTACAGTAGGGAGGGAAAACTGGAACGAGAACATCGGGAAAAATGGTCTACTATTGCAAAAGTGATTCAGAAAAAGGATGTGCGGAAGAACAACCGAGATATTTTCTTCGTGGAACTAGGAAGCTGGGATCATCACAACGAGATGAAGGATGGGCTGCGTCCACAGCTTCGTGCCCTAAACCATGGCCTCGAAATGTTTGTAGAGCAAGCCAAGTCCGACGGATTTTGGGACGATATTACAGTGGTTATTTCATCGGATTTTGGACGAACATTGACTCCAAATAGGTGAGATGAAGATGCAGTTGGATTCAAGACCGACTTATTGTTCAAGGTATTTTTAAATCGCTCATCATTATTATTTGTGACTTGCCTCAATTCTTGAAATGATTTTTTAATGTAGTAACGATGGCACGGATCACGGCTGGGGAGGCCATTATATGATAATGGGTGGCGATGTCCAGGGGGGGCAGATTTTGGGAGAATATCCCTCCGACCTGACTCCATCGGGAAGGCTCGTGGACGACCACGGTCGATTTATCCCGACCACGAGCTGGGATTCGATTTGGAACGGAATCCTTGAATGGACCGGGGTGACCTACCAGGCCGACCTCGATTATTGTCTACCAAATCGTCACAACACGGCAAGCCCGGTCGAGGGTGGCGGATACTTTCCCCTTCTAACTGCTAGCGCAATGTTCAAGTCGTCGTCCCTGGGTCAACAAGATCCATCGCCGGATGGCTCCAGGAGAAGCCTGCGGGGGAGAGAACAAAATGCGAAGAACAGAGTTTGAATTTTTTGCGTTGCTCGAGAGGAGGTTCACAACGAGGTACATCAACATAACAAGTATCTATACATTATTGTCATTAAAAAAAAAGATATCGAAGATGTCAATATTGAATGGCAAGCATTCCAAAAAATAGTTCCTTCGGCTCACTAGGCATCTCCAGTGTTTGTCGTCGACGGCCGCCATCCCATGTGCCCCTTTGCGTGTTTTTCCAGAAACCGATAATACTCTTCGTTGCAGCTGTAGCTGCTGCTGTTTCTCATCGCACCGTCGTCTCCTGCGAATTTCGTGGTACCGTCTGCGGTGGCCGTCCACGGCGGCGACGTGTGGGATTGGTCGTTCCAGAACCGCACCAGTTTTCGAAAGAACTCGGCCTGCGTTTCTGCGTTCTCTTCGTCCGACAGAAGCGACGACGCCGACCCCCTCTTTCTCCCGTGCAAGGGAGGTGGGTGAACGGCATTGGATACGGCGAGGGGGCATTTTTCTGGCGAGTCGTCCATCAAGAGCGTGTTGCTGGCGGACCACAGGGGAAAGGACTTCCATATCTTGGGCAGGTGTTTTTCATAGACAACGCTGTCGTCATGCCGTGCATCATCGTCATTTCTATTCCCTGCCTTGTTGCTCAAATCGTCATTTCTTTTTTCGCCTGAGGCGGACCTCACAGCGGTGCATTGGTTCTGGCTCCAGACAAATAAAAACTTGTTTCGAATGTCCTCTCCGTTGTTGTTGTTGTTGTTGCTGCTGCTGCTGTTCTCCCCGGGCAGCAACGGCGGCGAGAGCAGGGCATTCAGCAAGAGCTTCGCCGTCTTGGGCTTGGCCGACGTCCACACCGCCAGGCAAAAATTCCGGTCCAGGAAGCGCAGGAATGGCAGCAAATCGGACCGGGGAATGACCGGGGTCTGGGCCACCGATCCCACCGAGGGACGCAGGGCCTCTCCGGTGAGGCCCTGCGGGCGTTTGCGCAAGCGATCGCGGTGGCAGAGAATCCCGTTCAGGTCGAGGACAAGGAGGGGCTGGACGCGGACGGTGGTCTCCAGCCTGGCGACGATCGATGCCGGCACGGCGGTTCCGTCGTGCGGAGAAAGCGGTGCTTTCGGGGGTCGTCCCGTCTCGGAGGAGGGGGACGAGGAGGATTCTTTGGTCCCATTCGAAAGGTTGCACCCCGAAACGATCCGGACGACGAGTTCACTTGTCCCGCACTCGTCACTTTCTCCGATGGCGGCCTTCAACAACGTCTCGTCGCTGCTGCTACTGCTGCTGCCCGTACCGACGCGTTCGATGGTCTCGATGCGATTGTCGACAACAACCGAGTTTGTGAACAGGGATTGATCGGCACATTTTAGTATTATATCGATATAGTCCTGTCGCGGCCGTTTTTGTTTCACGATTTGTTTTCGTTTCCGTTTGTTCCTCCGCTGTTCTCGTCTGGCGGCAGCTTCTTCTTCTTCCTGTAGCCTGCTTTGTTCTTTGAGCTCCCTCTTTTTGTTCTTTGAATACCTTGCTTTCTTTCCGCTCCTCCTCTTCGATGGCTCCGAGTCAGAGATCTCGGGTTTTCGATTTCCTTGAACCATCGCTTGTTTGTGGTCGACGAATCCCCCTCTTCTGTTGATTTGATTCCATTGGTACTGCCTATCCGACAAGCATGGTGGATCGATCGAACATGGTTTCTCGTTGGCAAAGAAACATTTCGAGATTAGAAATTACCGTACCATACTGTGGTACTGGTACGTACTTGTTACAATACGTTTGGAATGATGATTGCTTTGTCGACCCAGAAAGAATTGATGGTGGTGCGCGTGCTAACGCGCGGTACCAAGTAAAGGTATAGTCGTACTGTATCTGGTATTCGTTCTGTTTGGGTTGGTTATTTACTGTACTGTATCGCCCCCCTTACGACAAACGCGCGATCCATCAAAAGTCGACTTCTGATTGGATGATAATATTCGGATTGTGTGCGTGCTGTACGGTATCTTCTGAAAAACATAAAGTACCGTACAGTAGTACAGTACCCATATGCTACGTAAAGTAGGTACCAAAACGCAACGAACAAACGCATGGATGCGTTGGCAAAATGCAAATCGAAACGAGGATGATTAGGGGAGATTTTGTTATGGGCCACAAGATCTATCACGAACCGTATCGATCCTGCGATGGTCATCATTTCTGGATCGAACAACTTCTTGCCCACTTCTTGTGCTTTTTTTCGGGCACGTTCGTAGACGACAAACACACATTTTGTCTCTCTTCTTCGGACAGAGATAGCAAAACCCGGACTCTGTAAGAGCGTGGATTGTAATCTGGATCACGACCAAAGTCAACAACCATCGCCAAGCAGCAGAAATTAAGGAAAAGTCGACCAGCAGTACCTAGCAGCATCAACAAAAGCATCAACAACAGCAACAGCAACGATGAAGATCGTTGACTACGCCAGGTCCTTGTCGATCCTCCCCTCCTCCAGCTCCTACGACGATGTTCGCCCCCACCATCTCGCCCTGGGATACGCCCTGCTGGGCCTCGTGAGCTCCTCGAAGATCTACAAGAAGATCACCGGAAAGGTGTTCAACATTCTGTCGGATCTGACGGAAGCCTGCATCCCCCTCGTTCACATGGGATTGGTGCCCGACTTTGTCATTCGCTTTGGGATCCGTCTACAGCTTCGGTGAGTCGAGTCKAGTCATCATTTTGCCAGCCATCGAGCCACTCAGTCAGGCAGCAAGCCAGTGCATCAGCTATCGAGGCACCTATTCCGTTTGCTCTTGTTGTTTGGGAAAGACACGAACCGATTCGATCGCCATCTTGTTCCTCTTACGCTTGTGTTCGTATTTTTTGTTTTCAATCTTCTTTGGCATCGAACCATGACGATCACAGGGACCACCTGAACATCCTTGCCAGCGAGGGCGCCCAGCAGGAGCTGGACAAGAAACTCAAGATCGTCGAAAAACTCAAGACGATGCCCATTGCCATTGCCACGGACGAAGCGAACGAGCAGCACTACGAGGTCCCGGCCAAGTTCTACGACCTGTGCCTGGGACCGCGCAAAAAATACAGCTCGGGTTGGTGGCCGACCCCCACGTGCACCTTCGAGGAGTCGGAGGTGGCCATGCTCGAAAAATACTGCGAACACGCCGGCGTCGTGGACGGCATGAAGATTGTCGACCTCGGATGCGGATGGGGCAGCCTGACCCTGCACCTGGCCGAGAACGTGAGTCTTTGATTCCTGTTTTGACCGTTTTGACACAGTCTATGCATTCGAAGCGCGGCGCTGCCGATTCGAAAGTTCTGGTTGTTTGTTTGCGTATACATGTGTTGTTTGCTTGTTGTCTCGTCACGAATTGACATGGTGCGTTTTTTGTGTTTCTTTCCCCAATAGTATCCCAACGCCAAAATCACAGGAATTTCAAACAGCAGTTCCCAGCGCGAATACATCCTTTCGACCGCCAAGGAACGGGGATACAACGTAGACAACATCACCATCATTACCTGCAACGTTGCCGATGACAAGGGCGCCCTCGACGTCGTCGGCGACAACGATCTCGTCATGACGGTCGAGATGTTCGAGCACATGAAGAACTACGAAATCCTCCTCGGCAAGATTCACAAGTGGCTCAAACCCACCGGAAAGCTCTTTGTCCACATCTTTACCCACAAAAACTTTTGCTACGAATTCGAAAAGGGATGGATGAGCGACAACTTTTTCACCGGCGGAACCATGCCCAGCGACGATCTCTTGCTGTACTTTGCCAACGAATTTTCCATCGCCGAACACTGGCGGGTAAACGGACAGAACTACGAGAAGACAAGCAACGGCTGGCTGGACTACCTCGACAAGGCCTGGAGGTCCGGGGAGCTCGGGCCCGTCCTCGCAGAGGCCTACGGTGCCGGAAAAGAGCGAGAGTGGTACGTGAACTGGAGGCTGTTCTTTTTGGCGTGCGCCGAGCTGTGGGGATACGACAAGGGAGAAGAATGGATCGTCTCCCTGTATCTCTTTGAGCGGCGCTAAGCTCGTCTTCGTGCAGCACCGCGAGGCACGAGAAATGGCGGGGAGGAAACGTCTACCTCACCAACAAGTATCGATCTGTAAACTCGAAAGACAAAACCAAGCAAACCGGTCCATCCGTTTTCCAGTATAGATAAGAGTAGTATACGCATGTTTGTAATTTCAGAGAACTCAACGAATACGAGAATACAAATTGTAGCAGTGCAATATTGACCCTCGCAGTACTGATCTTGAATACATAGCACAATCATAAGTCAATTGTCGTAGTTTTATCTCTCTTTTTTGACATCATAGTATTATCACATATTCAAATGATACTTTTCATTGCAAAAACATGGTAGAGTTGATTGGTGGTATGAACGTAATATTTCGTGAACTTTGTTTCTATTGTATCGTCTATGTATATGATTTTGACAAGTGTTCGAAATGCGATGAACATTCATCACCTCAAGCGAAAAATGCCGTTATGCAATAAAAGCGCGTAGAATTTCGTCAGCACGCATAGTAGGTTTGTGGCAATACTTTCTCGCATATTTTTTCAGTGTCTTTCTTTCGACTTCTTGCAGTTGGTTTGGTTTCGACGATTAATCGGCGCTCGAACTTAGCAAGTGCCATTTTGGCATCTGCAAAGCTTTCAATCTCATACTGATAGTCCTCATCCGCGGAATATCCGGTGAAGCAGGTCCGCAGAGTGCCGTCGCTATCCGTGCTGCTATCGTCGGCATTATGAATTGTTTCAGGATACTGTTGCCAAGATTTGAAGGACCTATGTAGGTATTCCTGGAAAAGGATAGCTCCTAACCCAAAAGGTGCCATAAAATGTGGATCATTTTGAAAGGCGCTCATTGTGGCCAAGAAGAATACTAACGAATACTTCGAGATAGTCAATAATGCCAGTCGAGTCTTGGGTATTGTTTTGAGTTGACACAAGATTGATTGAGTTCCATGATGCAATAATGCATTCAAATCAGTACAAATCAATACAGTAGCGATGCTTCCACCGAATAAATCCGCAGTGAATTGTTGTTTGTTTTCAATATACTGGTACTCTGTATCTCCATAACCCGCTTCCTGGTTGCTATCTCCAAGAGCACGGCGATTATCTCCTTTCTGATAATCGTACAAAAACATCTTGTAGCAAATTCCGGTTGCAATCAATGCCATGGAATATATAGGAACTAGGACTGTGTACAAATAGTTGCTATGCCTGCTGCGGGTCACTGCGTGGTCGCTGTTGTGGTGGGGTTCTGATTGGAAATGCAAATGGGCCAAAAAGATTACCGAAAGAACACCACAATAAAATTTTACAGAATGGTTGAAAGATTCGTTGTCGCCTTCAACAATCAGAAGGCTCATGATGCTCTCTCCAAACATGAGCATAAACCACTCTCCGTAACGGTGCATACAAAAATGTACATTCAATGGAACCGAAGTTTCAATGCACTGTTGTTTGAGAGTAAAGAATACCTGATCGCAATACCCAATAACTACCCAGGACATCCAACTCGCGAGAAGGAAGCAAATGGGTCGTTCATTCATGGCGTACTCATCTCCATCTCTGCCATAAAAGGAAACTCCAGAATCGATTGTTGCCGCAAACAAAAATAGTGTGGGAATTATTCTGAACATTATATCTCTCCTTGCAACGATGTGTGCGGCCGAATCTCCAATCACGTATTTGACAACCTCTACATACCGACATATAGTGAGCAGCGAATTGAGAAAGAGGGAGATCGAGAATTGGAATGCATCGCTATGGTTGCAAGGGTGCGACAAGATTTCGACAGACCGTATCCGAGAAAGAGCTGTTGCTACACAGCAGAGCTGTAGAATTTCAATAGATCTATGAAATATGTCGTGACCAGGTCTGGTTGTAAATCTTGCATCAAAATACAACTTGTCGTACCACATCATCATAGATGGGAATCCGGCTGCACAAAAGTATAAGATGCATCGAAAGTCTTGATCCGAGGTCTTGATTACATTCCCAAGGTTATAGGCTCCGCCAACGTAAAAAAGGTCGAAGAATATTTGTCCCCAATTGTCACTAGGCAGGATGTGAGCTTCACCCCACAGCTGTCTCTGTTTTGGTGGCGACCACCACTTCATTGTCGATGCTTGAGACTGCTTGATAGACCTTGAAAAATGCACTGCAGTGTCCAATATTCAACTTATCGACTTCAACTTTTGCATCGGTCCCAGTTGGTTCCCATACTAAAACTTGTACCGGTACTCTTAAATTTGTGCGCACTACTCCTACCGCTAGTATGTAATATGACGCTTCAAAGTACGGTAGAATTCGTTTTCTCGTGTAAACTCCGAATTATTTTTTATTTCTATCGACCTAGCGTGGAAAGGCGATACTGTACTGCAAATCTTAATGTGCCTCAACGGACATATGACGTGGTCGTGAGATACCAATACCAAAAGTGGGATGGCAAAAAATAAAATCAGAAAAAAATCTTTTGAGTCGTGAGTCATGAGTCGTGAGACAATAACATCGTTGTTTTTCAAAATTGAAATCAAGCACGAATAATAAACTGAGTATCGAACTGTATGTACGGTACGTGATGTTGACGTTGTGAGTAGCCAAGTACTGTTTCGGAAATGCATGTACTACTCGTACCAGAGGGTATCTAGAATAGATCGATCGCCTTTGGGTTGGTAATTATCGTAGCCGTCAATTGAAATATCGTTTTGAATAGATTTGCATCGCAATCCCTTCTAACTTACCGGTTCCACAATGCTCATTGAATGCCAGTTTCTTATTTCTGCTCTCCTCTTCACAGCACGTGGGGCTACCTGTTTTGTACCACGGCTGGCCCCAAGTCAAATTGCAAAGGATGCGTCCGTGATACGATCAATCTTCGGAACACAGAAATTGAGCCCCATGCCCAGTCCATCGAACATGGAGCTGGCCCCGAACTCAAATGAGAGCATCCAGAAACGAGCAGAACGATTTTCTCAGGCTTTAGGCTTATGCGGGAACGAATATCTGCAGCTCAAGCGCATGCATACAGTCATCGTGCTGTCGTTACTTTCCTGGTCTCTTCTGGCCACTCCTGCACCAGCCCGCTCACCATCACATTCATCGGATTCCTACAGAAGATCTCCTTCTTCTTCTCAGCCATCGCGACAACGCTCTTCTTCATCTAGCACCACAAGAAGTGCACCCCGGAGTGGTAGAGGTAGTTTGGTACATCGCCCTTCATCTTCACGTTCAAAGAAAGGATCGAGTGTTTCGGTTTCTAAGACTTCGTCGACAAGCACCATCACCAATGCAAAATCAACATTGGAAAAAGCAAAGGTGCCCTCTGAGACAACTACCGATCTCCGCAACACACCACGGAGCCAACGAAGATCGAAAGAAGTCAATACTGGTTATACCGCGCAAGAGTCGCATACTTCTCCGAATATGGCACCAAAAGTAACATCTTTGAGTATAATCGAGAACAAAAAGACTGATACGGGGTCGTCCTCAATACAAAAGCGATATTCATCACTAAAGACTTCGTCATTAGAAGTTCGTCCAGGGCAGGCATCTCCGGCGCCGATGAGTAATACACCTATAAGCAGCACAAAACATAGGATTGACCGGAGGAAGATGAGTTCTACCAGACCACATTCGTCTATGAAAGCTGTTCGCTCTTCCTCAAAGAAGGAGTCGAATCCAGACGTTGCGGTGCCCATCTCGCGCCTACAATCGTCTGTTACTTCAGGCAGCTTGACAGAGGAGACATTCTCGAAAACAAATGTCATCAAAAGGAATAATGTTTCACCATCTTCCACAGCCAAACCATCTATCATGAGTGGAACAAGGTCGCCGATAGCCCCAATAGCTCGCTCGGAATCGTCTCAAAAGGTATCAGCAAAATTGTTGCGAAAGGATACAAAGAGTTCTACCCATACTACTGCTGCCTCCACTAAAACATCGACTATTAGCGAAAATTCGAGGTATCCCATTCTTACTACATCAGGGAAGACAAAACAAAAAGACCTGCATACCGAAGCAAAGTCAGTCCCGCAAACTTCAGTTGATTCCAGTACTGAACAATCAAATGCGTTTTATAAGAGGAAGAGTGGTCGTCGAATTGGTGGACGTGCTGATTCTGAAAAAAGAAATCAACGATACACGAATGCTGAGAACAGAAGTGCTGTCACCACCCCCACCAGCACTAGCCCGGCTACTCAGAGGCACAATACTAAAAGGAGGGTGTCCCGTAGGGTTGACTATAACCCCGGTTACTGTTGCTACGACCTTCCCATCTATTTTCCGACGCGGAATATCGGTTCTTTTTATTATTACGATGACTACGCACCTCCGTTACATGCAGATGAGGCATATCCCCCTTATCGCCGAATAGTTGCTCCAAACCGACCACTAGCGACTTCAACAGCATCCCTGCCATCTGATAAAACTTGTACGGTAGATCTTCCCAGCGAGAACGAAGCCGTTGATGTTCTTGTAGACCCTCAAAAGGGGATATACGTCCAGGGATATGTGACATCGAGAGATTTGAAGAAATGTGATTTCACGGTAACTTATTCCTCTTCCAATGGTGACGTTTTAGTAGCAAAATCCTTCCACATCTAGAACTCCCCCGCCTCTGTTAGCTCGCCACTGACGTAATATCTGCAGTTGTCGACTTGTCGAACCTTTTTCTTTATGCCAGTTGGTGGCGAAGATGAGATCGAGCCGATAGGAATCACACCAGCAGGGTGCTAGTACTACTAGTCTAGTAGTATCAGCGTAGGAAATCAGCTTGCTGATGAAGAAGACAGTAGTAGTGTAAAACAATAATGGTAGTAGTAGTATCAGAATAAAACGAAAGTTGTGGTAGTAGAGCTATTGTTTTGTTACTACGAGGTGCAACATCAATATGAAAGTAAGATTTCCAACTTTTGTCACGAATACGGTACATTATGGTTAATACATACTAGTAGGAAGTATCTCATAATACTTACATAGGTACTATGTAATACTTTGTACTGTACTTCTACTCCGATTTAGCATTTGTGTCTGGTTGTCGTACGTCAAAAGACTAGTTTAGCTCTCCCCTCAGTAGAGCAGTACTGCTTTACAAACACACGTCAGTGGTATTTTATGGCTTCTCGTTGGCTCTTCTTGAGTTCTCGGTGATGGTGCACGGCAACAGTGGTATCCATGCCATCAGCACGATGATGTGTCTTTGAAGTGGCGATCTTGGTACGATGCTGCAGTGCTGTTTGTATGGCAATGTGTACGGTATCGTATCGTAGCATCTTCCTTCCCAAAAATCCTGCTGTTTTGATTGAGTGCTCGTTGACGCATCCATGACCAACACAGCAGAAGTTGTTGTTCATCTAAGACATCTCCGGATCGAAACAAACCCCTTCGAACCCAATCCAGTGTCAACAAGGTAGTCCTGCGTGTCTGTCATAATCTACACACGAAATCAAACAGAATAAATCAATTTCAAGATGGTCAAGACAACTCTTTTCATCGCAGCGGCAACCGTTGCCGCTGTTGGCGCCTTCTCCCCCAACATGCCTCAGACCGTAAGTTTCACGAGGTCGAGGACAGGCATCGATAAGCACCATACAAGCGCTTTGGAATAATTGATATCAGCGAAGACGTTTGACTTAGGAAGGTTTCATTGGAATGGGAATCTGAGGGAGGACTAAATTGACGCTTGGTCGAGTCATAGCCTCCGAAGTATTGTATTTTTGCTGATGGGGAAATAAACGTAAGACGCCCTTGTAACTCACTTCACTCTCTTCGCAACTTCTGCTTCCTTCGACACCACAACAACGAAAATTATGCTTCACTTCTACAATGACGCAATAGGAGTCCCCCGCCACGGCCCGTCGTGACTTTTTCAAGGACACCGCCGCCGTTGTTGCCGGAGCCGCCCTCGTCTCCATGCCTCAGGTTGCGTCCGCCGCTGTAGAGGTCCCCGAACAGATCACCCAGTACTCGTTCCCCGAAAACTGGGGCCTCACCCTCAAGTATGAAGAGGATGCCGCTAAGGTCCGTGATCACATGTACACTGCCACGACACTGGGAAAGGGTGCCGATCGCATGGAAGAATACGGAAAGAACATGAAGAAGGAAATGATTGATTTCGTCTCCTACTACCGTCGATTCCCCAAGATTGCCGGAAAGCCTTCTTTCTCAACTCTTTACACTTCCATCAATGTCTTGGCCGGACACTACACCTCCTACGGATACAAGTACCCTCTTCCAGAGAAGAGACGCAAGCGATTGTACCAGGAGTACAGTGAAATTGCCAAGTCCCTCAAGCGCGGCCGATAAACTAGCACCACCTTTCCTGTCGTTAAAATATCATCTCTAAATACAGCATCTTTTTTTGAACCCTAGCTAATAATTCATTAAGAAAAATCTTCTTGGCAAAAGCTATTTTTTGATCGACTTTTAGTGCTCTTGGGACACGACATGCTTTCAGAATCTGCAATCACTTTCGTCGTAGCCGAGCGTTACGACGAGAGATGAAATCTCAACCTCATTTCTTGTTTATGTCTTTCCGCAGATTGAATGACACGAAACTACTGAACAACCGCAAAGTCCGTTGTCTCTGCGATGGATCGCGTCTTCCTCTGGCATCTATCATATCTTTCCTTTGTTTTTTCATTCGTGAAAGTATGTGAAATGATAGACTACAGGTTGTGTACGGAAGTTTTCGGGTCCTTAGTTTGAGTTTGAAACAACCTGAATTGCTTGATCAGCTCCCAATTAACGGGCAAGGATAATGATCGCTGTTCAATCAATCGACCAACACTTAAAAACGGAAGCTTGGAACAACTGTGAGAGAAGTAAATCACGAGTAGTGTCATCGTTCCTAGTGTTCCATTATTTTAAAACGTAACCTACACTATGCTATATCGTTCGATTGCGTAAAAATAGCAACATAACCGTCTTGGTCGCCTGTCCTGTGCCTCCTGGAAAGTCACTTTCTCGTTTTAATGACCAACGAATCGGGTCGAATCCAATGACACGAGGCCCCACAACACTACTCGTTTCAGAATCTTTTTTTTCATTTCGGTGCATCGACACATAGCCAGTCAGAGCAGCCAATTCCATTGTTTCGTTCCGCGTTCGAGTTGGCATTTGAGACAAATGGTACCGAAGCGTGGTTTCTTGGTCGTTCTTGTTGTCGCTGTTGTCGTTCCGGGCGTCGGTTTATTTCGTCCGCGTCGTCCGGGGCGACGACGAAGACTGCAGCTTGGCAAACGAATACAGGAAACCCCCACACATGCTCACGGCGATAAAAAACCAGGTTTCTTTCGAAATGACGCTGTCGAAAATCCAGTACCCAATGATCGCCACGGGGACCTTGTTCAGGCTGCCGATCGTCACGTATGTAGTTGGCCCCGATACCGAGACGCAGTTGAGAGAGGCAAAATTGAGGAAAAAGCCGACCAGGCCAGCAAACAGGTTTTTCAGGGCATAGTCCGGCGTGTGTATGGCGGACGTTGTGGCAAAGACCGTGGTCTGGCCCATCAGCCCCGCAACCGGGAGCAAAAAGACGGCGCAGAGGACGTTGTTGTAAAAGACCATCCCGAACTTGGACAGCTTTACCTTTGCTGTCGCGTGTTTCATATACAAAACGTATCCGGATGAGGAGAGGCAGTTGCAGACCATCCACAAGAGGCCGGTGCCGCTCACGGAAATGTCATTCCAGGCGGCCGCAACGGCACCAGACAGCATAATTCCAAAGGCCACCACCACCAGGTTCTCCGGCTTGTTTCCAAAGTAGTAATAGTCACCAACCGCGGTGGTAATGTTCGAAACGTTTTTGAAAATGGTCACCATCGGAACGGAATTGTACTGGAGCGACGCCATGCCGGAAAAGAGCATGGCGCAAAAGAAAATGTTCACGGGAGCCCATTGCTTCGCCGTGTCCACGTTGAAGGAGGGATACTCTACCCAGTTCATTTTTCGGCACCCCTCCACGGCAAATACGGCGACGATCGCCTGGAAGACGACCAGCAGAATATTGAGGTCGCCCTTGATCAGGTGGTTGTAGCTCGAGGCCAGGCTCTTGTTGACCAGGACCATCGAGACACTGCAAAAACTGTACGAGAAACACGCCGACAGGACCTTTCCGTTCTTCTTCAGATGGAAACGAAACCACTCGGGGTTGCTCATGGCCGCGCTGGGGCCGCTGCTTCCCCCGCCAGCCCGTCTCTTGCCCTCCTCCGCGGACACGAGGGGGGCAATCTCGATGTCGCTGTATTCGCCGCTGTCATCGGTTTCACCGTGATCGTTGGCTTCCAAGGACGGAGACATGGGCGAATAGTTGCTCGCGGCCGTGGCACTCCTATCGATCTCCGGCACGACAGCAACTTCCGTGGAAGTGTCTCTTGGTGGCATGGATTTAAAGTACAGCGATGGTGTTGGTCCCGCTGCCTCTGCTTTCGATCTCCGGGATTCTGCACGAACAAGCGAAAGAAAAAGAATGGACTGGAGTGAGACGACGGAACACGAGGCGAAAGAAAACCATGGGCTCATTCAACCGGTACCAAACAGTGGGCTCCTGAGCGCCTCCCGATCAGATCCGGGTTTTCACATTCGTTCTTTCGAACCACTAGGAGGACACTGCGGTGCAAACGAACAAGCTCTTACCTTTCTGGCGGTGATGATTATTCCCGGTCGTTTGGTTCTTGTTTGAAATGTTCTTACTACTAGAATTGCGGTGGGGACTCCGGTGGTGCATTGCTTTGGACGCACCTTGTGAAAATGGTAATGAAATATATTGCTTGGGTTGGTTTGATGTGGTTCGAAATACGATGCTGTCGATTAGTACTCGAACTTGCACGCTAACCACTTTGTTTACGTACCTCAGTTCACGATACGGTAGCACTCCTAGTAGTGCATGTACCCGTATCCCAATTCATTGGAAACCTTTTTCCACAAACGTACCATACCGTACGTAACGTGTTTCCGGCATATTAGTTGTGTTCCAGTAATGGGACAATTTTTATCGACGCATCCGGCTGTATCATAGTCAAAAGTACCGTGCATGCTCGTACCGTACGTAGGTAGCGGGACCTCGTACCGCTATGTACAAGTTTACCGTGGATCACCACAACAACACATCCTGCCGTGGGATTTCTATCAAAACACCAAAAACGATACATGCGCAAACATCGTCGTTGGGCATCGTGCCCTCACCATTTTCCGCGAAGAACCATCATTTGTGTTGACAGCCTTAACAGTTGCGTTTCAAAAAAATGAAACCAATAAGTAATTTTTTAGCTATCGGTTTTCAACTGTAAGTATGGGAGCTAGGCCCGAGAGCGTGGCTTGCTTTCCCGACTCAGTGCCGCCAAAGAGAACAAATAGTCGGGAACCAGGCCGGTTCGACGTTTTTGAACAGGGGTCGCCAGAAGTTTCAATGTACGAGTACCATCCTTTACCGTACAATAGACGTTCAGCCCGTCCGTTCGAGTCCCGATATAATACGGTACTGTACGTACCAAGTACGCCCTTGTACCGTAACGCGAGACTCCGCCGCTCCGCTCCAGACGTGCTTTGGTTCCATCGGTCCCGCGCGGGTTTTGAGAGAGACGAGTTGTGCTTTTTTTGTGCGGCAACTGAACGAACAGAACAAAAACGCCACCACGGTACGGTACGATGCGAATTCAATGGGTTGGAGAGACACGGCAAGCGGAAGAAGGAACGGACGAACGGATCCATCCGCTGCAACTCCGAGCAAGCCTCGTTCGGTTTCGCGTAGACGACCAGGCACGCAGGGAGAAAAGGAAGGAATCTGTTCTCGGGACAAAAGAATAAAACGGAATCCATCGACTCGTGCATCTCCGTCCGTCCATGATACGATTCGATCGAGTCTTTGGCCGGTGGTCTCGTTTGATGGACCACGGGCAGGCCGCGGGGGAAAGCACAAGTTCGGTGGAAGCATTTAGGAACCGTGCTCTCTCCTGGCATCCGATTTACCATGCGTAGTATCTATTCTCTACGGAGAGAAAGCAAACAAGAAGCCGAACCAGAGACAGACGCATGTGTCACCCATCGAAAAAATGTTCTATTTATTATGGTCGATGGGAAGCCTTTTCTATTCGTCTGCAGCGCCACAATGGACTCTAGAAAACTTTTGTACGTAGAGAATGCCCCTGTTCCCGATTCGAACCTAGAGTGGAAGATTGTACTTCCCGGCTCTCCTGTTCTTTGAATTGTTCTGTAGTGTACTGCATTTGAACTATTCATTTTACTGTTCTGAAGTATAGTGCACTCCATTGACTGTACTGTAACACAGACACACACACACACACCCCAGTGCTGTACCTGACTACACTCCATTGCATCGCAACGAATCGCAGCACATCCCTCACACCAGGATGGTCTCCCCGTCCCAGTCCTGCCCGTAGTGCTCCATGGCCCGGTCCATGGCCTCCTGCAGAGCATCGTACTTGGCTTGTCGTTGTATTTGCTCGCACGTCTGCCCTTCCGTTTGTTCATACGCCTGCCCTTGTGTTTGTCGTTGCGTTTGGCATGCGGGGCCGCCGGCCAGAGAGGTTCCAAGAGCGGAATTCCCCGGGAGGACGCACCGGTTGCCGATATCGCCGGTCTCCCGGGGCTTCAAAGCGGGGGGTTTGGATTCGGAAAGAGTGATCCGCACGGCCTCGCTGCTTTCGGAAGCTGTGGCCGCCGGAGCGTCGTTCTCGAGGGCCGACATTGCTGCGTTCGGAGCGGCGCTTGAGCTCGTTTTCGCTTTCTTGGCTAAATGTTGGAGCCTTGTGGATCCGGGGCTGCTCTGAATGTTGCCGTTGCTGCGAGAGGGAGGCGATGGCTTGTGTCTCTTTGGGATTGCTGGCACAGCGTTCGCTTGCAGTCGAGAACCAATGGTGGAAGCAGCAGTGGAAGCAGTGGTGGAAGCAGTGGTGGAAGTTGTGGCGGCAGCGGKGAGGGCGTTGCTCTTTCGAGCTGTTCTCTTTCGATTGTAGTGCCATCTGCTGCTGGTCGAGCCTTCGATCTCGATGTTGCGTAGCGGTTGGGTGTGGATGCTGCTTCTGATTGTCCTGCTGTTCTCTTTGGCATCGTCCAAAAAGCACCAATTCCCGCGCTTCCATGCAGTCTCGGCACGGGAGTAGCTCCGTTTCGTACCCCGCTTCTTTCCCCTTTTAGTTTTCCTTGCCTTTGTAGTGGCACTTGTGCTTGCAGTTGCAGTTTCACACCCGTAGCGAGTCGTTGTTTTGCGGATCCTGCTCGTCTTGACGCCATCGTACATCAACGAGGATAGGCGAGTTTCCGTCACAGCTGCCTTGGAATCGCTGCTGTCACCACTCCGGATTTCCCAGTACCCTCCCTTAGGAACATCTAGGAAGTTCCTGAGGTCTTTCGGGATGGGCCGAAGAAGCCCGCCATCTTTTTGTTTGCTATCGCCGTGGTTGAGGTCAATGCTGTTGCTGTCGTTGAGCTCGTTCGTATTAGTGTTGGTGTTGGTGTTGGTGCTGTTGCTGTTGCTGTCGCGGTCAATGTTCGTGCTGCTGTGGTTCTTGATCTCTCCGTTGCCGGTCGGTTTGGCGTTCTCGTGGCTCGTTCTACGGGCTCCGCCGGCCGCGGGCAACCCCACTCGATCCCCCGGGAGGGGTTCGGGTGGGCCGGTTCCGTTCCCTGGGGGGGGGGCTTTCAAACCGGCGTTGTCGTTGCCTTCGATGCCGCAAGAGTCGGCCAGGGAGTTCGCCTCCGAGTAAATGGACCACATTGCCGGTGACCCGCGATAGCCGTCGTCCTCGGACACGACGCGGGTCCCGTCGTCATCTAAGTGCGAGATCCTGGGCATTCGAAACGGGGCGGAATCGAATCGTATCAAACTCAGTCGAAAGTGGAACAGGCACGGGAAAGCTGACGCCGTGGTTCTTGCTGTTCTTGCTGGTGCTTGTKGTGCTCCTTATTGTTCCTAGCAATTGGTGCGATGCGATGTGTCTGTTTCACCGGCTTTGCTTTGGTTTGTGGGCAAGCTGAGGACTTGACTGGCAGCTTATTCTTGCTCGAACATACAACCAAAACCTTGATTGTCTCCGGCCTTCTTCTGACATTGCGGGAATGTTTCTACAAGTTTTCCTACCGGCCGGTACTGCACCTACAACCGGTGTACGTACAATAGAAGTTCCGTTCTGTCGTTAAATATAAATAATGAACCCCAACGGTACCTCAATAGAACGAGAACCGTTGTCGTTGTGTCTGTACGTAGTGCAAACACAATCACGAGTACTTGGGTACGAGTCCGTACCCTACTCGTAGAAGGAACCTTAGCGAGCTGATGCACCGCTACATACAGTAGTAAATTTCGTTCGGACTGTTCCTATTACGCTTTTGGGCGCGCCATCGCCATTTGCCGCAGCTGTCAAAGAAGACCAAACAGACGGGAACAAACGACGACGACGGCCGCGACGGATGGAAACCGTTGAGGAAGGGGGCCGCACACGTTTTGTCCCACTGTGTCGACTGTACGGTACTTTGTACGCTACGTACGTACCTTACGTACTGACGGCCACGATGCGTTCCATTGCTTTTTGGCTTTTTGGTTCGGGGTTCGGATCCTCTGAGGAGTTGTGATACTTATCATACTGTATCATTAGTACATACAACCTGTACAAAGTCGAACCGGTATGTGGGGAAGAATAAGGTGGGATCGCATCCGATTTGCAACGGGGTATGGTCTTTCGAAATCATGACGCGGGGTTGGAATTCCTTCCCATTGATACACCAGCGGTGCCATTGGTAATAAACCTCTAGATGCTAGTAGTAGCACCCTTGTTCTTGGCCTCCTGTAAAGTTTGAAGATCATTGTCATCATTTAGCACTACTCACTACTAGTACAACTACTAGTACTACACACCTTTCTGCTGTTGAAACAGTGAAAGTGTGAATACCGCCCAGCGCGTGAGGCAAGCCAGGTGATATTGAAGGACTAATACAGTATCATTGATATGAAGCGTATGATGGAACTGAGGACTATGTTTATAAGGATGAATCAACAGCTGGAAGCATTTGAATGGTAATACAAGCAGCAGTTCATGATGGAGCTGGCGAGCTGAGTGACAGGAAAGCAATCAATGTGAAGCTGTTGAAGTTGAAGGGATCTTGCAAGGGAAAAGGATCCAGTTGAAGCTTTAGAAGGAAGATAGATTAAAGCAAAGCTTGAGTGTAAGAGGAGTGATTTCCGGCACGAGAGCCGTGATTATTAGAGCGAGGAGGAGAGCTCGTATTTCATCGATCAAGGATCAAGGAATAGAGAATAAGATAGAGAACACTTTATTTGACACATATCAGTTTCCCCAATTCAACCATCTCAACATCTGCTTTCCAACGCTACTAGTACTGCGGCTGACAAACAAACTTTCGTCAAGTCATCGCAAGATGCAATTGTGCTCATGATAAATTCATTTGTGCAACTAAGGAGTGACAAGACTTCGTCGTTGCGAATTCCTTCCGGTATCGACTGCACTAATACTAATACCCTCTATCTTTTATTTTTCTTGGGCGTCCCAGGAGGATTTCGTTGCTAGTTCAAGCACTTTGGATCTTCGACGTCTTTTTTTCAATAGAATCTCGTGCACTTGGTGGCTTCCAGAGTGAATTCGATTGATCTGTGCAATCGGACGTCGAGGGTGGTTCCATGTGATTCAAGAACATCGGTCTAGTGTAAAAACCAGTATTGTTGTATTTGCAACCAGGCTCGGACCGATCCGTAGGTGTTTTGTGATAGCAAATAAGGGGACAACCCCCGTTTTTATAAAATAGTAGGAGTGCTGCAAAGCATCGCAACGATGTTTCCACAAAACACTCGTCGCGAGATTTGTTTCGCACTCGTTCGAAGTGAAGCAATACCGAACCACCGGACCCGCTGAGCGCCTGTAGGAATCGACAATAATAGCCATCCCTTTCACAGCCATGGGGCATCCCTGGATCCGGCCCGTTCGGGAGTGGCGACCGACGAGCACGAAGGGGTTGCCGAACGAATCGATCGATTGGCTTTGCACCGGGAGAGGAATCGATACCCGGGACCGATGGTTTGGCGTGACAGCGCGCACGCGACTCCATGGCGGACCGGCATCGATTTCGAATATTCCGTTGCTGGGCTTAGTGCGTCCGCCCTTTGGTTTTCCGGGCGTCCAGAACCCTTCGGCCCTCGATCCATTCCATGTGCTGCGCCAGGGACACGCAGCCGGCCTCGTCCACGGGGACGCTGTCCGTCGGCATCCCGTGCGTCATGAGGGCGTACTTGCACTCGACGTCGGTCCCGTGGTGGATCCTCATCCGCAGCCGGATGAACTTGCACAGGGTGACCATCACCATGTTCAGCATCCCCACCCACTGGTGGGAATCCGTGCACAGGTGGTAGCCGACCGGCCGGGCGGGGACGCTGAGCGGGACGCTCACTATTTTCCGCGCGAGCGTTCGGTCGAAGCCCCCGCTCATGTTGTGGTCCGTGGCGTCCTCGCCCAGCTCAAAGCCGGCGAGGCCCTCGCCTTCTTCCGTGCCGTCGAACCGGTCCAGGGGGACGCGGCCCACCTCGTAGCCCAGGGCCACGACCCCCTTTTTTTGGTTCGTGGGGTCCTCCAGGATCGACATCCATATGTACCACAGGGCCCGCAGCATGTTGTCGATTGTCTTGTACCTCATCGACGTGTACCGTCCAAAGAGGACCGACCGCCCGGCGGCGTCCCGCTTGGAAAGAACCTGGAAGCCACCCGACTTGAGGGACTCCATGTCGTCTTCGCTCAGATCGTCCAGAACGATGTCCCTCACAAGCTTGTCTTCTCCAAAAAGGCGCAGCTTTGTTTTGAAGTGCCGGGTAAGGCGCTTCGCGGCCTTTTTGACGTCCCCCTCGGTCGCCCGCAAAAACATGAGACGGAACTCCGGGTTTTTCACGTACGAGGGGGACATGGAAAGGGCCAGCCGATAGGCGTGGTACGGGACTAGGCTCTGTAGTTCGGGTACCGAATCGGTGATGGGCAGGCTGCCCCCGCCGGTTCCGGAGGGTGCCGGAACGGACGACGAGGCCTTCGAGTCGCTCTTTTCCAAGAGCGATACGATGGCCTCTTCGAATTCGCTCAGGAGGGATTCGTCGATGTTCGGGATGCATTCTTCCGCGAGTCCGTACAGGTCCTGGCCCACGTGTTCGCGGTGGTTGATCGGGAGCTGGTCGAGTTCTCTCGTCAGGCACGTCTGCGAGACGGAGCGATCGACGCAACCCGCTCCGCTTCCGATGCAAAAGTAGGAATTTCCTCCGCTTCCGGTGGCTTCGTCGCCACCATGGATGGTGCTGTTTGCGTACGAACTGGTGTTCTTGTTGTTTCTGCTGCTGCTGCTGCTGGTAGTGGTAGTGGTGGATTCCAGAGAGACATCGAGCCTCATCTGCTCGAAATCGCTCACCTCCAGGCCCTGAACCCCCATGTCCTGCGAGGAAGCTCTCTGTATCTCACCAAAGCTTTCTTTCGCTTCGAGTGGCCGGTGGAGTTCCGACGCCCGGCGTTTCGAGGCTCGAAAGGGTCCTTGTACTTCTTGATGCTGCTGCTGCTGCTGCTGCTGAAACGCGGGATCTCTCTCGCTGGTGGACATGGTGGAACCACAGTCAAGGCTTTCGCTTCCATCCGCACCGAGTGAGAGGCTCCCCGTGTCCTTGTCGTTGGCTTTCATTCCGTGCCAAAGGAGAAGTGCGGATTGTTTCGTTTCGTCTTGCAGACCTCCTCCAAAGATTTCTGTGCTTTGCTCTCCGCTTGTTCTTACTTGGTGGCGGCGGCAGCTCTCAACTTCGTTTGTCCCGCAATGGACATTGTTTCGTTTTGGCTCTCATTGTTTTTCAGCGGTTATTAATTCCGTTCCGTTGCTTTCACCATCATCAGCGAATCATCTGTAACTGTCAGTACGAGTTTCGACAGAAACTACGGTAGTACCAGCCACCACCAGCGATGAAAATATAACTACTACTACTAGCTACTGTACTTGGTATCATATACTATTGTTTGCAGAAACAAAATATAACAGAGACAGAACAACTCAATATTTCAAACACCATTTATTATACTTTGTCCTCCTGTGCTATGAAATACTGCAATTTAGACCTGCTACTTCTTGGAGAAATAAATTGACCACCAAAACAGACGACACCAGCACCAGCAGGCACCAGGTTTTGGTGGTCTCTTCTTCTGAGTTTGAAAAGTGCACTTTTGCCACTTCTGTGTTCATAATAGCTATCTAATCATGATGTTTTATGTGACTCCTCATTTGTTGAATAATTAAAACTTCTTTGACTTGTGCCAGTACCTTTCCTCCAGCACATTTGAGAACTTCTTCACTTGTTGTTGTGCTGGTGACAATATATTTTCTCCACCTTTCTTTGATTAATTTATTCACTCACTTGTTGACAAATGGTTTTGCACAAACATTGAAAACCAAAAGCAATGTAACCCTTTGCTAGCTTGTGATCCCTTTGTCAGTCAATTTGCTGCAGCTGCTGGCTTTCCCAGCAAAGTAATGGTGCAAAGAATGTACTATTACTGTAATCACCAAATAAAATGCACAAACACCAAGTAGTACTAGTATTCATCATGGTGACACTTCCTGTACACCAAGGCCTGCTGCAAAAATGTAAGGAAATGAATGGAGACAATGCAGTAGCTTCTAGTATAATGTGTTATTATCTTTGTACAGTTTGTTATTCTTCCTTGCATGCAGAACACTTACTAGTACACCAGCAGTGTCAGCAGCACTAGCTCCTTGTCCTTTTTGTTTTAGTACCAGGACTGCTCCAGGTGGTATCATTATCAACATCATTGTCAACAAATAATGAGAAGCAGAAACAGAACAAAATGGATCAGTAGTAGCAATTCCTTAATGTATCTAATATGGTTGGTGAGGATGATGACAATGTCGTTTTGATATCAAGTGACAACCGCCGTTCTTAAATTGAATAATCACTGCTGAGGGGGGAATAATTACTAGTAGTATGGTAATGACATGAAGTATTGTGGGAAGCAAAAGTATCACAACCTGGGAAGAACTGTTGGCAAATGATTTATTAGTAGTAGTACTACCATATTTAAAGTCAGAAAGCTGTGAGGAGGCCAAACTACAAAAAAATACATCACCAAAGATGAAGTTTGTGATTTCCCCTACTACAACTGCTGGTACCTCATTTTGTTACTAGTAACAACCATAATGATCATTATTAGAAGGAAACCTAAAAATCAAGAATGAGTAGAAACCTGATTCACTAAAACCACAACCAGTACTACTACTAGTACTAAGAAGCCAAATTAAGCAGTTTCTCCTGAGAGTTTTAAAAATTCTGGATGAGAACTTAGTACTAGTAGTAACATTAAATCAGATAGACTCCTACCGGGTCCTGTATGAAAGAAGATTCTCCAAGTAACTCTTGGCAACAACAAGAATAATGAAAAATGACAAGAACATAACACTACTCCACATTGTCCCTTGTCAGTATCAACTATAAGCTGTCAGATCAATAGCAACAATACCTTTACTAGTAGAAGGAAAACAGATATTAGCAGATGACCACAGGAACTTCTCCAACAAGCAAATTTCTTTGTGTAACATTTCTACCCAAAAATAACAACTGCATTATCTGCACAATAACTTCAACAAACTGAACATAACTGAGCCATTGTCTAGGCAATACTAAGAAGCAGTAATCCTTCTTATTGAAACTACTACTAGTAGTCTTCTTCAGTGAAACTCAGCCTCTAGTACAAAACAAGGAAAAAAGAACAAGCTATTATCATTCAACCCCAGATAAGAAGTGAAAAGTTAAGTGAACAAGGAGCTGTCCATTGTAGGATTATTTTTAAAAATCCATGATGTAGTCATTTCACAATAAAGAAAAGATAGCCAAAATCAATTTGCCTTGTTACTAGTAGTAGTAGCAATTGGCTGCTGTAATAACAAGAAAAGTTTTAATCATCTTACTACTAAACAGACACTTTGAGCTATGGCCTAATCTTGGTTCCCAACTGCTGCTGAAGAATACTAAGCATCCCCACTTGTTCCCACCAATAAAGAGAGGATCATTCTACTAGTTGCATGGTAGTTCAGTGGTCTTTGTTGTGTTTTGTGGGGTTGGGGTTGGTAAGAGTAGTAAGAGAGAAGAAGCAAGAAGAAGGAGTGGACAAGAAAATTCCAAGGAGGATAGAGGAGGAGAAGAAGAGATATTATTGTGATTCAATTAGTAGTAGCTAAACAGGCATGAGTTGGAAATCTGATTGGAAATCCAACCTTCTTTTATTTTTTTACAAACAATATGTGGGTACAGCAGGAGGTTGGTTTAGAATAAAATAAGAAGAAACAGTTTACTATGGTGGATACAGAAAATATTTGACAAAAAATGCTGTGTAAGATGCAAGTGACATGGTAGGTTGCTGATGAGCTGACAAGGTTCTTGATATAGTAGTGTCACTTTTGTGCTATTTTTAGTACAACTACAACTACTAGTAGTACTACTACTAGTAGCACAATACTACTACTACTGGTACTACTGGTGGCAACAACCTGTGGTCCACTACTGCTGGCTGATGTGATACTAGTAGTATCATTACTTCTAGTATTAGCTAGTGGTAAGAACAATAAGAAGTCAGCACCAGCAACAAGGAGATGAAGAAGGCAACCCGGAACAAAATGCTGCTGATACTACAGAATAGGCTCTCCTGCACCCTAATATTTTTTCATCTAGGCCAATGGTTCTGGCTTGCCTAGTAGTAATACTAGTAGTAGTAGCCACTCTTGTACTAGTAGTATAACAAGAATATTTTTTGGTGTACTTTTTTCAATTCTAATTTTTTGATTGAAATAGTACTACTAGTAGTTGATGGAAGAAATAGGGAGTCTGAGGGGGTTGGTGTGGGTAGAAATACTACTAAAAATCTGGTATGAATTTTTTTTGAATCTAGTAGACCGTAGTAGTATACAAAATGAATGGCTGTCTTCTTTAGAGACTTTGAGCTGTTCCTTCCAGAAAATATAGAGCCAATAGTTGCTGTTTCTTTGAAACATACCAGTTCTTTCCACAAAATACATATTATGCCACAGGATGATGACAATTTGACTCACAGCATTACCGCAGAAGACCTAATTTAGTAAAATGGTGAATAATGTTGCTAGTACGAGTACTCGTACTTGGTACTCGTACAATTCACTACTACAACAACAATTTTTGTGTCTTGATCGGAAAAGATCGAGAAATTTTGGATCTCGATGGGGTGGAATGCATTGCGGCAGACAGCAATCAGCACTCATCGATCCATCTCCTCAGCCGCCAAGCTAGAAAGAAGGAAGCGGAAACCAACACACAACAGCACAGGAGCAAATTCTACCACATCATGCTCTTCCAGCTCCTGTTGGCACTCGCCGCATCCAAAATTTCCTCCTCGTTGCTGCGGATCGGAACGGATGGGTTCCGGCTTCGGCCCTATCTGTCGTCGAGCGACGAGGAGGCCCTCGCCGACATTTGCAAGGGCGTGTGGAACGGCACCGATTATCTCCCGGCGACCGCGCAAGCATTCGAAGAAGACCCGAGCTGCGACTTTGTCGTCCTCGAGCACGAGACGACGGGAGCAGTGATCGCCGCAGGGAACCGACGACGCCTGCCTCGAAGGGACGGAAACCGAACCGAAAACGCGGTGTTCTGGCTCGAGGCCGTTCGCGTGGCTCCCGAGTTCGAGGGGAGGGGCATTGCCACCGCCCTCACCAGGGAGCTGTGCAGGCGATGTAGGGAAGAGGGGGCACGGGAGATTCTGTCGTGCACGGTGAAAACCAACCGGGGCATGACGGCCGTCTTTGGCAAGGAGGGGATCGACATGCATCCGGTGGGCACCGCCTGCATTCCCGACTTTGGGGCATTGTCCGGGTTGCCGGGATGGTCTTCTAGAAACGACGACAAGGCTTCTCCCGAAAACATTCTTAAAGCAATGGGTTTGGAAGATTCCGTTGACGAAGCAGTGAGGTCGGATATTTGGGAGCCCGTTCGGAGCGAAGAAGAGCTCACGGATATCCTGGAGAAAAGGGACAGCGGTGAAAGCCTGGCGTATATGCCCCAACTCGGCAAACTGCTCTGGTCGTCGGACGATCTGGTGGAAAGCATCCGAGAGGGCCTCGTTCGAAAGCTGAAAGGCGGTGCTGGCAATCCACCGGTTGCCGTATTTGCACTGGTAAGGGACTCCACCATCCAGAGCCTTCGATCCAAGTACGTTTGTTCTGTTGTGGCATCGTCCCCACAGGGCCTCGATTCGGCTCTGTGGGAAGCCTGCAACCCCGAATACCTCCCCTTGATCGACGGAAATCCCGCGTTCTCCTTTGTTTTTGAAATGCCGCTCCCTTCCGGCCCCAAACCATCGGTGGCGGAGTCTCTTCCGTTGAAAACAGGTAATGCTTTTTCGTACTACCGCTGGGCGAAGAGAACGACGCGATGAACCAGCGAATGGTGGTAGTTGTGGTATCAGTGGTGACCTCATTCGAGTCGACGAATGACGTCTTTCTGATCACCTTATCAAGGAGATCCCAGGCCTCATCAATGTCGTTTTCTGCACAGTATTTCTGGAGGTGGATGGCAGTGTTTTCAATAGCTGCACTTGAAAGCTTTTTTAACCATTGTACTCATGATGTTGGATCCATCCTAAAGGCAGAGGGAGAGAGAAGAAGAAGAATAGGGTTGGTTACCATGGAAGTTTGCAAGTTGCGGTGCTCGAATGAAAGTCACAGTTAATTGCGCTGAAAGATCACGTAGCAGAATGGCTTACAACGATATTCTTTGGATTTGTCGAAAGGCATCTTTCATGCGAGATGATGCAGTGTTCTTTTGCAAATATTTTTCATTTCCCCCTTCATGAACCGAACGGTTCAACGAAAACAATTTTTGATTCTACCAAGATGTTGAGGATTTGCAGGATATATCTACATGAGATTTTGCGTGGTCACTGTTCTGTGCTCCTTGAGGGGAACTAGATGGCCGTGACTCTAGAGATTGATTGTGTACGTATGGGTATTTGTGTTTCGTGGGATTTGTCCCGGCTTACGAGTTTCTTGTGTTTCGTATCCACATCTGGTTTCGAGAGATTCGTTTCCAATGCTATACGGAACGTTTCGTACCCGACGAGAGTCACTTTTGAGATCTTACCATCACTGTGTCTGGGACGCTATTCATTTGGTTCAAGTACAAATAATCAATTCTTTATTAATGTTTTATTTTACTGTATTCCCGATATTATGCACAGTACCATAATTACGGGGATTCCTATATTTGTGACTACTACACCGAAAAATGCTATTTTAAGGGTTATTCGGTTATTCGGACCAACAGAACCAGCGATGAACAAGAAGCCGTTGACTTGCTCTTGATTTTATAAGATCATTGCAACAGCCATGCCCACAGTGATAGAGGCCGAGGCAAAGGCGCCGACCAAAGGAGCGGCCGACTCCATGGGATCGGGTTCGATGGTCGTAACATTGGTAGGGTCAGCTTCAGCTTCGGGACCTTCGGTATAGTCTACAGAATCATTGCACGTATATCCCTCTTTCCCCGTCAAACGCAACAAATCTTCAATTTCTTCGGCGGCAATGGGTAAGTCTGTACAATTTCTCTCGAGTGCGCAGGCACCCGCGTTGTTCAAGCAATTCCCGTACCCGTCAAGAGATATTGGTAAGATTTCTTTGTCTGGGCCAGTGCATTCGGCGCTCTGGCTAGGATATGGCTCCCAGATCCCGCCCACGCTTGAGCATTCTTCCTGCGCGCCATAATTAAACATAGAGGTAACGGCCCACACCATGTGCAGCGAGGTGGCGAGCAGCGCCACGAGCAGGGCGTTGTTGTTCTTGTTGCAGACAGAGAGCTTCATGGTTTTGCTTGCTATTAGAGATTTGCTTGGTATTGGTTATTGGTAACAGCTTCGTTTGTTGAATTGCACAAGACTTATTGTTTGATTTGTGCACTCGTTTTGCTAACTACGGTAATGTACAGAAATAAAATACTTTTTTTTGGCGTTGACATTTTTTTTTGGCGTTGACGGCATGCAAACCTCAAGAACTTTCTTTACAAACATCTGAGTACGTACCGTACGGCCCCGTTCGAGGTTATGTGTTGAACTAGTACGAGAACGAAAGTACGTGATGTCTAATAATCGTCGAGTAATTAGTAGTCGCGCGCGGGTAATCAACGAGTAATCAAGGTAGAATGGAACAGTAATCTAATTTTCATGAAGAATGCGCCCTTACGCTCAAAACTACTCCTGTCTCTCTGAACACGCGCGTTACTAGATATCCGCGTCATGTTGAAGAAGTGAGAGCACGAGGAACGAAGAAGGTATTCACCAGCAGAGTGATACCTAACTTACGAGTACGTGGTGAGAACAAAAAAATCGTAATCCACGGATCAGCGCTCAATTCATTGAATCTCAGATGTTTGTCGCGAAAATTCTTGAATTGTATATCTTGTACACCAAAAATTTCTGTCCATTACAGCAGTAGCGGTACGTGTTATCAATTGCTACGCAACTAATTACTGTATTGTTATTTCAATTTCCAGAAGCGCATTTCAAACCCTCGACAGCCGCGTAACACACATTGCAAACAGTCCAAACCGACGCTGTTACCACTTAACAATACAGTACAAAAGAAATCTATGCAACAAAAAAAACATGAAGCTCTCTGTCCGCAACAACACCCATCCTCTGCTCGTCCCGGCACTGCTCGCCACTTCGCTGCTCGTGGGCAAAGTGTGGTCTGCACCCACTGGCGCACCTACTACCATATTGGATGTTGTAAACCAGATGATGGAACAAAATACAGAATTGATCAACGAACAGATGTCACAATTGGATTCAACCCCGACATCAACGTTTCAGTTCTCTATGGCACCGTGGACATTTAAGGACCAAAAAGAGGCATGCTTGAGCGGGGGCGGGATCTGGGAAACGTATTTCGACCAGATCTTCGAATGCACCGGCCCAAACGGAAACGCCACCTATAACCTCTCCAACTGGGGTGGTTGCCTGATCGACATGGATGCTTGCGTGAGACTCAATGGCAATTGCGCAGACATGGAAAAACCCTTGACCGAAAAAATTAAAGAAGAGGGCCTTGAGTGTGGTAACATAGTCAGTAGTACCGACGGTCCCATCCCCCAAGCCAGTCCCGCTACCGATGACGCTTTCAATGCCGGTGCCTTTACTGATGACGCTACTGATGACGCTTTCAATGCCGGTGACGCTACTGATGACGCTTTCAATGCCGATGACGATACCGATGACGCTTTCAATGCCGATGACGATACCGATGCCCAGGAGTCGGGTTCTCTTCTGGTCGCTTCCTTTGCCTCGGCCTCGATTGCTGTGGGCATGGCTGTTGCAATGATATTGTAAATGACAAGAACATAAACGATTGCCCGTCGCTAGCTCTGTTGGACCGATTAGTTAGTTCCGAATTGCCCTCAAAATAGCAATTCTTGATGTTCAACAATCAGACGGTGTCGGGCAATTCCTTTCGAATTGTTTGTCACAGATTTACTGGGAGTTTCTCCAGTAGTACACGGTAATTGAAATCCCAGTTTTTAATAACCAAAGTTACTTATGGTGCATAGTGTGAGACGGCAACCTAGCAAGCCAGGACTCTTGTTAACAACTCGACAGCATAGCGCCAGTACTCGTCCCCTCGTAGAGTAATATCATCGACTCTCTTCCGTCGTCATTCATACGGCACGAGTATTCCGTAGGTACCACACGCCCACTGCAAGCAATTTTTCTGCCAATCTGGACAAGGGCTCTTCTTGCACGATAATACTTGGTTTACATTAAGAGTGAGCCTATTCACAATCTACTGTACTCGTGATTTAGGCTCACACCGACACCTTTTTCGAAATTACCATAGCTACCGTACCGGAGGCGTCGTCTCCTGTGCCTTGCGTCAGAAAAAGTTGTCACGGGGTTCGTTTATTTCCTTCGTCGTTACAGTATTTAAAGTATCAGAAAATTCGCACAGAACCTTCCCTAACTTATGCCCTGACCCATCGTGGAAATCGAGATGATGCAAGAAGCATAAAAATTAGCTTCCTACCGAATCATGGTACAATCAAACACGACTGTTGTTTAGGGTCGTTCGGTTCATCGAAGGAAAACAAATCCAAATCGACTCTGTAGCTCCGCGCATTCATACTACCTTCCGCCGTAATTCTATTAAAAAAAGTAAGTCATTCCGTTTCGTGATCTCGAAGTGTTCCAATTTGAATTGCAACCCATCCAAGTCTTGTTTCTTTTTCCTCGCCATGGTTTTCTTTTCTCTGCCTCCAGAACATATCCGGTACGACGATGCGATGTTACAGTCTTCTTTTTCTGTTCTCCCTTCTTGGTCCAGCGGCAGCGACCGACCCCGAGGTAGGCTCCGTGATTGTTCCTGAATCTACCGGCAGAAAGGGTCATCGCAAACGTGGCCTCAAAAGCTCGAAGAACGCTGGCCCCGGAGACCAGTGCGCGGTGACCGTAGCCGAAAGGGACGAAGCCATGGCAGAACTCGAGGCCATCATGACTATGGATTCGATGATGAGTGAAGATGACCAAGTTACGGTCAGCAACGATTGGCTTATTGGCATTGCTGTTGCGTCTGTTTCGTGCCCTTTGACTGCAGCCTGCATCGTGTCTACCTGCACTTGCTGTTTCTGTTTGAACCTTCCGCTCTGCTGGCCTTCTGTGCAGTCTCATTGTTATGAAACGATGAAACAATTGATCCGCGACTGTGGTTGGGGGTAAGTTTTTTTTGACGATGCCCTTACGGCACAAGTTTGCGATCGATTCTCGTTTTCCGTATCGATCCCCAATACCTTTTTTTCCGGAAATCGTTCCACCCTCTTGTGGACCGATGCTCTGGGAGCAAGCAGGTACCAAAGATCGTTTCTACGCTATATGCACGACAAATTTTATTCTGGGATAACACTCTGCTTTCTTAACTTATAGTACGAGGCAATCAATCATACCGTAAAACTAGACCCCCCCAAAAAAAGGTTTCGGAAACGACCCGGCCGTGGCTTTGTTCCGGGGCGTTCCGGGGCATTCTTTTGTGCCGCGCCTCGGAGGCTAGTTTTCGGCCCGGGTTCGGTCCGGGGGCGGCTCCCTCCCCCGCTCGGGCCTTCGCCTCGGCCGGCGCGGAGGATCCTCCCCCCCATCGCCGGGGGCCCGCTGCGGCCGCCGCTGGCTCCCCGGCCCGCCCACCGGCCGGTCCCCCGGCCTCCGGGCCCTTGGTGCGCTGCCCCGGCCCCGGGAGCGGCTCTGCCTCTGGCTCGCGCCCATGGCTGCCCGCTTCCGCCGCCCGGGGGGGGGCTCGGTGTCGGGCCGCCGGGGCCGTCCCTTTTGCCGGTACTTTTGCGCCCGTTCCGTCCGGGTGGGGGGGACGATGGAATCCCCCACGCCGTTGTGGAGGCTCCAGAGCCACTTTTTGTAGAGTTCCGTCCTCCAGTTGTTTTCCTGCTCGATGGTTTCGTCCCAGTCTTCCCCGAGGAACATCATCCGCAGCTCCGATTCCTTCCTCAGCAGGTCCCGAAAGGTATCGATGTTGACCCAGACGGGCGAGTTGATGTCCGGCGGGTCTTCCAGGGCGGGCCCGGAATCTTGCCGGGCCTCCCGGCGGGCGCTGTAGATCCGCTTCGGCTTTCCGTCCCCGTCGGTGCTTTCCCTCCTTCCGCGCTTCCGCCGCAACCTCGGGTCCTCGTTCCGGTCTCTTCCCCGGAATGCCCCCCCCGCGTCCCTTTCCCCGCGGCGCCCGCCGTTGCGGTTCCTCCGCTCGGGTGGCGAGCGGCCGGCGGGCTCTGCGGTTCTGCGCGGGGATCGCTGCTTCTCTAGCGGTTGTGGTGGTTTCTGTTTCGGCTTGGCGGGAGGSCCCTCCCTTGCCCCCACGCCTTGGGCATTTCGTTGTTCCTGCCGGAGGCGGCGCTTGCCGACCAGGTCTCGTTCTCTGCGCTCCTCTTGGTTGATCTCGCTCGCGATCCGCGAGGCTTCCCCGACCGAGTCGACGATCCTGGTTTCCGGGGGAGCGGCCGGGTCCTTGACCTTCCACTGGACCGGGACGCCCATGCTGGGGCGGTTTCTTCCGTCCAGGACCACGATGGAGAGGAACTCCGACTGCATCCGCTCCAGGTCCGAAACGGTGTATCCGAGATCGAAGAGATCGGAGAGGGGGGCGTACGTCATGGCGTTGCCGGTGATGTTGCGGTAGACCACCGCCCGGGGGTCGGGGTCCCTTCCGGCCTGCCGTTTGGTTTCGGTCTTGGCGGTTCCGGGCGCGGGATCGGTGCCTCCGGCCGCGGTGGCGGTTGGTTCGGCGTCGCCGTCCCTGGATGCTTCGGCAGTCGCCGCCGGAGCCCCGGAAGAACCGGGGATTTCCGAATGCGAATCCGCGGACGGCAGATCCTCGGTGGCCACCAAAGGAGCGTCGTCCTTCTCCAGGGAATCTTCCAGAGATCCGATGCCACCGCCCGACTCGCCAACCTCTCCGGTGGCATCGTTTTGAATGGTTGCCTCTGTGGTTGCCGGTGTTTCGTTTTCGAGAACGAGAACTCTGTCCTCGTTGTCCCGTGCCGCTGCCGCGTCTCCTTCCAGTGATTGTTGTTGTGGTGGTGGTGGTGCTTGCAGGGTTTGCTCCTGCTCCTGCGCTGCGGCCGGTCCTTCTCCTGTTTCTGTTTCTGTTTCTGCTTCGGCTTCTTCTTCCGACACCACTGTTTCGTCCCGCGGCCACCGGTCGGCGCAGTAGTCCTCTCCCAGAATCCCCGACACGTACTCGCGGTACCACTCGGGATCTGCGGACCGGACCCTTTGGTGGGCCGCATCGGTGGGGCAAGGGCCCGGGCGTGCTTCGGCGGCGTCGTCCCGGACCGGGGAACCGACCCCTGCGCGTGCCTTTGCGCAAGCACCGGTGGGACCCTGCGGTGGCTTTTGCTTCCCCCTTCCGGGGCAGGCGGGGGGGGCCACCGGGAGGGGCCGGACGCCAAAGCCTTCCGCCGTTCCGAGGGCGATCGCAAACGAGGCCGCGAGGGCGAGGGAAGAATGCTTCCGCCGCCGGGGGGGCCTCGCCTTGGACCCCTCCGCAGGCAATCCCTGCGGTGTCGGAACAAGAGCCTCTTCCTCCATCTTTTGTGGCGGGCTGTGTTTGTTGTACGGTACTGTTCTTGTTCTATCGAATCACGGCGGTGGTGGTGGTCTGCTGCCGGTTGGCATCGGGTGCGTCGGCAGGGGTTGTGTTGTTGTTGGTGTTGGTGTTGGTGTTGTTGTTGTTGTTGTTGTTGTTGGTGTTTGTGGAGGTTCCGCTGCCGGTGCCAATCACCGTTCCGTTGGAGAGGGAGAGGTTGTTCTTTCCGTATCGAAACGGTCCAACACCACCACGACGCAGCTTTGATTCGGTGGACTTTCTTGATGGCTGATGGCCAAGTGTTCTACGTTTCAGCTTACCGTACGGTATTACGGTGCGTACCTAGTACCTACTGTACACGAAGAACAAGTGAACCTGTACTAGACTCGACTGTAGAATCAATCGTACGCGTCGTGTACGTACAGCGCGTACAATTCCGTAGGTACGGACCTCTGCGGTCGGCGACTTGGAGGTATCCACAATCGATGGTTCCAAGTGGAAAAGGGATAAGGTTTTCCAATGGACTACCGACGCCGTGCAGACGATATCATGTCATCCCTTCGTGTCGGCCGGGCCGATCCGATCGTGGGTTGTGTTGTGTTGTGTTGTGTTGCTGGTTTCTGTTTCCTCGAAATTCTTTGCCTTCACTGATTCACTGTACAGCACGAGTACGAGGATCCTCGTAGCAAACAGACAGTTGACCCCGAAACTTTTTCCTTTTCTGTTGCTGTACGGTACCGTTCGAGTAGTATCTGCATCTCCCTCTCACAGAATCGCAGCAGTTGGTGCGACACGAACCGACCATGGCGGTAGAGAGGTTCTTGGCATCCAGAACGAGTCGCCGGAAGACACCAATCCCCACACAGACGCTTCTTTTCTGAACAGCACACATTCTGGAGCAATCGTATCCACCAACCAACTACCAGACCCAGAAACACAAACAGAAACACAAGAACAAGGACAAGAACAAGGACAAGGGCAGCGCCCGCAACCCGTCCCGTCCCGTGTTTCCGGAATGAGACCGGTGCCGCCGCCGGTCCGCCGGTGGATCTTCTCGCTTCCTTCCCGCCACCATCCCTTCGGCGGGCACCGGGCTCTCCCCGGTCCGCACGGAACGGCCCCCGTTGCAAGGGAACGAAGGTGCTTTGGCACGCGGAGCGATCCTTGGAAGAAGAGGCGGCCTTCGAGGCGGGCTTCGGACCGGGGCAGGCCCAAGCTCCCGCCGAAGCAGGGATCGCCGCCACAGAGGCGCCGCCACAGAAACCACAGGAGCCGGAGCGAGGGTTTCGAGGCAGGAGAAGCAGCAGCAACAAAAGCAACAGCAACAAAACCCACAGCAGCAGCCCAGGTGGAGACGTCCTCCGTGGCGTCGTCCATCGTGGATCGGTGGGAGGAAGACCGAACCATCCGGGGCAAGGGAAACGACTACAACGCCGGTCCCCGCCGGTCCGCTGCGAGGAACACCTTCCAGATCGATCGGTTTCGGGACCGGCAGCAAGAATACTGCGAGGTGGTCGACGCCTACCGCCGGTTTTGGTACCGGGACGCGAACCACGACTCCCCGGCCGACTGGAGGACTGCCATGGCCTTTGGGCACCCCGGTGCCGACGAGGATCTCCCGTGGCTCGAGGTCTCCTGGGAGAGGATCCTCGCATCGGAGGACCTCTTTCGAAAGGTCTGTGCCTCCCACCACAACCTCTTCCTGGCCTGTGCCTCCTGCCTGACGGAGCACACCGAGAGCCAAAAGAACCACGGCAGCGATCGCGGGCGAAGGAAACAAGGTCAGGAAGGGACAACCACCGTTCTCGGCTCCAGCGGCGACGACTGGAGCGAGAACGACCTGTTCCGGGCGGACTGCGAAGAACTGCTAAGAACCATCCTGCCCAGGTGGGAAAGCCTGCGGAGGGAAAGGGCCGCCCTCGTGGATCGATACCGGCCACCGGGCGATGGTCCGCCTCCCCTTTTGCCGGGGGAGGGCTTGTCCCCCACGGGAGCATCCCCGCTGGAAGACCCCCACCGGCAGCAGGTTTCGCCGTGGGCAACCGCCGGCGACTGCGACAACAACAACAACAACGATAACAACAACAACAACAAAACCCACAACAACGACGACCGGGAGGCTCCCTCGGAGCGGACCCGCGGCGGGGCGGGGGAGGACCCCCCCGGGGGAAATCGGTGGGTGGGCTGGCTCAAGCACATGATCGCGGGGGACGAAGGCGGCGGCGGTGCCGAAACGGCCGAAACGGTGCACCCCCGTACCGCCACGGCCCACTCGGACCCGGAATGCGCTCCCAACCATTACCACTACTCCAAGCTCATCGGACAGCTGTACTTTCACTACCTGCCCCACGAGCGGCACATCCGCGGGAACCCCTTCCACTTGTACACCAAGACCGAGCGGGAAGAAGGAACGGCGACGCCAATGGGGAACGACGGTGACGACGGTGACGACTGCGAGGTGGAGGTGGGCCTCGGCAGAGACTCGATCGGTGCAAACGCAAGGGCAAAATCAGCCAGCGACGATGCCGGCGACCCAACCGGGGGCTCCCCCCGCCGGGTTTCGTACCAGTCGGCGCTCCTCGCCTACGAGAAGCGGCGGCGGGAGATTCTGAGGGAGCGGGCCGCAACCATGCAGTCCGTGGTGGACCACGCCCTGCTCCCCCTCGCCCCAGCGCCGCCCTCGCGGAACACCGCCACGACGACGCAGCTGCAGGAGGACGACAGCAACCGCGTCCTGACCGACAAGATCGTCCGCCTGCTGATCCGTTCCTACCTCGACCAGGAAGAACTCGGGGCCGCGCAGCAGGCGGAGCGGGTCTACCACCGACACCCGAACCACCGGAAAAAACTCTTGTGGTACGTTGCCATGTCGTACCTGCGGGTGATCAAATCGATGCGGAAGCACCCCAAGGGTTCTCCCTCCAGGGATCCGTCTCCGAGGACGGACGCCGACGACCCGGCCGTGGCGGCGAAGCGCATCTGCGAGCTCGTCTCTTCCAAGTACGCCAAAGAAGCGAGGGAATTCCAGCACTGCTCCGCCATTGCCTTCGAGGCGCTGGCGATACTGCCCGAACAAAGCCGGCACAAACTGAACGGGTACTACGACCGGGTCCACTCGCTCGGCATCCTCAAGTTCGGCCCGAAGGTCTGGGAGGCCCTGATCGACGGAAACGGAGAACCACCGGGGCCCGCGAAGGACGGTTCTCTCCGGGGCAGGAAACAAAGCGGCAGCCTCCGGTCTCCTTCCCCGGCCTCTGCAGAAACTCCGGAGGAATCTACCCCGCTTGTGGTGGACCTTTCTCAATCTCTGAATTCCAACGACCACAAGATTCTCCACCACCTCATCCAAATCTATTCGAAGGACGAGAAATACTTCCCTCGAGCCCTGAGGCTGCTGGACCTCTTGCTCGAACTGTACCCGGCCTACGATCTGCAAGAATCGCTGACCCGGGCCACCTTTCACAAACTCCTCGGGCGTCTCTCCAAACAGCGGGAAAAGGCCTGGGAGAAACAAAAGGCGTCGCAAAACCCCTCGCGCTCGACCGACAGCGACGGGTGCAGCCGGGAGCTGGAGAGTGCCTTTCGGATTCTCGACAAGATGATTTCGCACGAATGGTGGTTTCCGAACGAGGACACCTTTCGCATCTTGTTCCCGTTGGCCGCCTTTAGCGACAATCCCGCACCGGGCACCGAGCGGGTGCTGGCCAGGCTCGAAGCCTGCCGCTTCCTTTCCGTGCTCTCGCCCCCGAAACCCCGTGCCACCCTTTCGACGAGCCAGCAAACAGCGAGGCCCGGCCCGTCTGTTTCCACCTCGAACCGGCCCTTTGGTTCCCTGGAGGCGTCCTCGCACGCGCTGACTGCCTGGATGAACACGGCCAGCTACAACAACTACACGGTTCCCCCGGGCCACCCGCATCCCGCGGAACGGGCGTGGGCGATCCTACAGGCGCTGAGGACGGGATCGTCGGAGGCACTCCTGCTGGACGGTGCCGATCCAGCGAGCGGGCACCGGCACGGCTTCCGTCGTTCCCCCGGGCCCACCGATGCTATCTACACGCTCGCGCTGAAGGTCTGCTCGCGGATCATGGACTCTCCCCAGTCCCTCGAGGTCGCCATGGATATTTTCGAGGCCGCCGCAGAGGACAAGATGCTGCTGGAGGGAGACATCTGCCGGGTCCTGCTGGGAGTCGTCATGAACTTCTCGAGCTCGGATTCCGACAACCTGCGTCGCGTCGAGGCCGCCAAACGCGTCCACCAAGCCCTGGTCGAGCTGGATCCGGACTATGGTGCGGCAAAGCCAGCCGTTCTTGGTTTTCTAAAGAAACAGACTTCGTACATCCGGATACGCCACCCCGAACTGTACGAAAACCACTTGGCCGAGCTGAAACTCCTCGAACCAGAGGTCTCCTCCCCGGTGTAGGTACACAGATCGCAACGGCGGCGATACCGAAGCGAAGAGCGATCCATTGTCGGAGGTCGACCGGATTGTTGTTCGTCGCTGTTTCTATGTCGGTTGCGCATAATTCCATCTAAATTCGGACGAAAAGTTGCAACGAAAGGAGTAACAGAAGCATTGTATTGTAAAGTAGATCTAGCTAGCGAGCGAAGAACCTTACAGCGTGACGCAGTTCTCCGGAATTTCTTCGAAAGGACACGATTTGTATTTGGTTCCGTCCCTCTTGAGGACGCTCCGAACCTCGTGCTCCAGGCGCAGAATGGGTCCGTCCTGTACGTTTTCTGGATCGACAATGTCCAGGCAACGAAACATGCAATCGTTGACGGCCTCCTCGAGATTGTAGGCCCTTCGTGAAAACCTGGTGTTGACGTAGGTCAGTCCCAGGTCGCTGGCGCGCTGGTAGCAGGACGGAAGGTCGGCCACGTAGAGGGAAATGTGGACGCCGTAGTTTCCGAGGGTGGTACTGGTGCCTTGGCTTTTTGCGTCGGCGTCCTGCACTTCGCGCAAATCGACATGGGTATTCACCTCGATGGATTCTTTGGGTACAAAGGTCAGTGTCTGAAGCGGTCCCATACGGATTTGCACCACAGCCCTATTTTCGTCGTCTCTGCTTTCGTCTACCACGAGCTCCCCTCCCAAAACGTCCCGATAAAAACGCCCGATCCCATCTAGATTGGCATCGATAGGAACGTACACGGTCAGATCACGAATTGCCAATCCTTCCGAGGTGTCTCCGGGCTGGCTTCCTCGGCTGTCCCGTTCGCCAGGGATCGTCTTTTGCTCATTCACGATTCGAAACACCGAGCCCCAGGGATCGGTGACGTCGAGAGCCTCTTCTCCGTCGTCATCGTTCTCGACCTCCACCACGTTGAATTTGCTGTCGTTCAAGGCAGCATCGGGATCACTGGTGATGGCCTGGTATCGTTCCTTTAGGGTTTCGAGCGACGGGTGAACGACCGTGACGAGGCCATCCAGGACCTGTGCGTCCGGCGATCCCTCCGACAGATGAAACTGGTGGGCACCGATGTTTGCCCAGAGTGTCTTTCGCCCCGTCTCGATGTTCTTGGCTTTGCGAGGATCCCAGGCGCAACCCAAGAACTCCTCCCCGTAGAAGGATTTTAGCCAGTCGTGACGCCCCTTCTCGTGATTGATGTTGATATGGTCCAGGATTAGAACATTGTTGTCATGGCTGTTCCTGCGTGTGGTGCGTGTGATACGCGTGCTGCTGCTGCTGCTTCTGGTCGAAAACCCGTGGCAATAGTTTCGATTGCGCGATGCTACAACTACCGATAGTGCCAAAATCACAGATCTTAATCGTAGGAACTCCATGGTCGCAGTTCTCGCCATCTAGCGATGTTCAAATTCTATGGCTTCCGAGGCTTACGAGATGTCGTTAGCTCTGAAAGTCCTGTTCGACAAAGTGGCGTTCTCTTATCGAATTCACTTTCTTTTCTTGGAACATTGATACATGTTGTACGCAACTTACCGTAACGTATTTTACAGTGCAGTACGGTACGTTTTCGTCTATTCGTACGTGTTGTGGTGTTGAGATTGTGAATTCAGGAGGGGTGAATTTTAGGGGAAGGAAGAAGATGACGAATTATTTCATTCGGGGGATAAACCTAGGGTGTCGTTTTGTTCAAGATGCTAAAATAAAAAAATGGCAGATCGAAAAACTGGCTCGTTTGACATCTCACTCACAAGTATCTTTCTGTCTTCTCCTACACATATCTCAATATATGCCTTCTGAAGTCTTCTTGTTCTTCTTCGGTTGTAAAATTTTCCGTGCAACGTTGGCATTTGTAGTACATCTCCATTTGTAATGATGTGTGGTACTTCGTATGTAGTGCTGTACCGTAGTAAGAGTACGAACTCGTGACTTTCGGACGAGCATTTTTTAGATGACCTAAACGATAAATTCGAGTTACAGTACGTACGTTACCGTACTACGATACGGTATTTTTTGACAACCAGAAAATGCCTTCCGTCATCGACAAAATGATATTGCGATGGTCTCCATCTATGGACTTATTGTGATCAATACACGTAGAATTTCCTAACAATCAGACGATCTCTGAAGGCATTCAAAATGAATAGGGCATCATTCACGCGAAGAAATGAGAAAGCAAAAAAGACCCCCAGCGTTGGTCGTCTCAGCTTCCGTAAAATCAACGCGATCAATCTCCCGTTCGGCGGTGGCTCCTTCCGATCCAAAAAGATCAAGAAAGGGAAAAAACCGTCCATGATCGATATTTTTGCAGAAACTACCAATGATCAAAACTCACAAGCTCACGCTCAAATGAGCGAGAAGGCAAAGGGAACGCGGCTGGCACCGAGCAGCGTGAATCCTGACAAGGAAGATTGGGGGCTTCTCTATGAACTTGCTTGCCAATACGATAGATTGAAGTTACAGGAGATCGAGGAACTTAAAAATCCCGATACAAATGCTGGAAAGCAAAAGAAAGAGGAAACAAAAACGACTGTTCCAGGTAACAAGAGGAAAAGTATGAAAAAGGAGAAAAGCATCAAGAACGCTCTGAAAGGTATTTTCGGTGGGACAAATTTTACTGCAAATGGAAGCTTTTTGAACGAAGCATTCTTCGACCAGTACCTAATCGAAAGCCCTGAGTTTTCTAGCGTCACGTTTGATTTTTCCAACAAAAGTGGTCTCTATAGGCGATTCAATCGGAAGGACGAAGAACAAAAAAATATCTCTCGAAAGTTTGCTGCCGCTTTGCTGAAGCACCCCAAAGCACCAAAAATCACACATCTTCACATGTCCAATGCTCTCTTGCCCGACGCTTTCTTGGAAGCTCTTTCCGACGAATGCCTCGGTAGCACATCCGGTGGTCTGCCAATGCTGCAGGTCCTGAATTTGGAATCGAATGTTTTGCGCAAAGACGGAATCGATGCCTTGGCAAAGTGCATTGCCGATCCGAAGGTCTGGCCCCGGCTACAGGTACTGAAACTCGAAAACCAAAAAAAGGACATCACCTACGAAGCGGAGGAAGTTCTGGGCAGTGCCATCCTCGAAAGCTCGAGCCTGGTCGTGATTGGATTGCACGTAAAGGGAGGGATCCCGAAGCAACAAATCGAAAACACCATAGCATCCAACGTAGACAAGCTCCGCCAGGCACGCCGCAAGCACGCCTCGAAAACCGGTACCCTCAAGGCACGGAAGCGCAACGATATGGAGCAATTCTTCGATACCATTGCCTCCAACACCGACCCCTCGATCGTCGAAGTGGATCTGACCGGCGACCTCAAGTTTTTGGGGCTGAAGGCAGCCGAGCGAACCAAAACGGGTGCGTCCTTCAAAACCAACACGACTGTGACCAAGGTGAAAATGGTGAAGCTGAAGCTCGACGACGATTTTGCCGAAGCCTTTGGCGATGCTCTGGCCACCAACACGACACTCGAGACGGTGGTCCTGGACAGTAATTCCTTTTCCGGGAAAGGAATGAAGGCCTTGCTAAAGGGACTCGGAACCAACACGAGCATCGGAAACTTTCAGGTCCGGCACCAATCGAAGACCCTGCCGAGCAGTGACGAGGAAATCATACCGGAGTTGCTCAGCGAGAACAAAACCGTGATCAAGCTCGGGATCGACGTCCGGAATCCATTGATCAAGACGAAGCTCGATCGCAAAACCAACGAGAACCGGGACCACCAACGAAAACTGCGCGTTGCCGCGAGGAAACAAAAGAAGTAAACGAAACGACGAGAACAAGCCCCACGAACGAAACAAGCGGACCAACGAAAGGTCGGTATTGAATTCGGTGCAATGCGATACCAAGCACCGAAACCCGCGAAATTTTACGGACGTGGATAAAAGGGAACCGAGCATTGGCTCAGGAAAACGAGCCCTAGGCAGTAACATAAGCTAGAGTATTAACGCTATGCTTCGCGACGTCTTTTCAGTTTACAAAATTCCATTCGTGTCACAGTGAAAGAACAACGGTTCAAAACCATCTTCGTCGAAACGCCTCTGCTCGGTGCAGCTCAAATTGCACGAATTCCCCTGGCTTATCTTCGTTCTGCCAACAAACTAATCCACGAGCTCGATGGGCAACGACGGATTCCATGATTCCTGCGTTTGCATTCCTGCGTTTTAGTTTTTTCGAGAAATTCATGCCGTTCTATTTAGCTTTCCTGGGTGGTTTGTCGTGTGTGATGTATTGCGTTGCGTTGATAAGCTGGTCGATTGGCCACCCGCCCAACCCCATCACTTGGTGTGGTACTGAATGGCGGCTCTGGATCCAGGAACGATGATGGGCTTGATCAGGTTCGTGACGACTGCGACGTGCTCCTCGGAGGTTTCGTAGGTCTCGTAGTCCTCCACCGAGGCAAAGGTCGCCGACCACACCACCGATCGGTTCTTCCCGGCGGGGTGGTTCTGGCCTCCCTCTAGCAAGAGGTCGTCTGCCAGTTCGTGCTCGGTGATTTCCGGCAGGACTCCCGGAAGGCCCAGCAGCCCCGATTTCATGGCTGCCGCGGAACAGAAGGTGGGTGTTTGTTGTGGGAAACAGGCTGCGTGAGTGGGGTCTCGCGGACGAACCAACTGGGAGGAAGAGTCGTTTCGCGTCGACGCGCGTGTCCAGCCGGATGGCCTACGTACCTTGGACGTCTTCGTCCGAGACGCCGTCCTTCAGGGTGAACATGACGATGTGTTTCACTTTCGGCACGGCGTTGGTCAGCGCGAGGACCGTGGAGGAATCGGTCACGGACAGCAGCAAGCAAAACAACTTCATTGCGACCATGGCCACGGTGAGTCCGCCGGTGAATCGTGTGTTGGTTCGTCTCCACATGCTTGGTATGATTCGATAAGCTGGTGTCGGATAATGGGAATGTCGAAAGGAGAGTCGAATGCCTTGCCAATGAATGATACGTGCTTGTCAGAATACTGTGATGCTTGCCCTCCTACCGTACGGTACAGTACGGTAAAGCACGAGATACGACTGCATACCGTACGTACACTGTACAGGAAAAATTACTACAGTACTTTACTTACGTACATCATTCATACCGTACTTGGTACTTGCGACAGGGGAAATTCAAGGAACACAACATCGGATGGATCGATCCATCAGTGTTACTGCGCTACGACTCCGCGCGGTACGCGCGCTTCGCGTGAAGAGAGGGCAGTTTTGCGTGAAGACGCGCCAGCAATTTTTTGCCGCCAAGGACTCAAAAATCCAAAAAATACCGCAAATCTTGGATTAATAAATTGGGTGTGTCTGCGGTGCAGCTACTGCTGCGTCGTACCGAACTATTAGTACTCGTACTGCACGGATTCTGCGATTTTGATCATCTCGAGAAATGCATATTTATAGCGCACCATCTGCTATTCACACTCTTTGCAACCACTACCTGTAGGACTGCAAGAAAAATTTGTTCGGCTTTTCGAGAACTGGTTTCGCACTTTTTCTATCGTCTCGTGCTTGGAACGTCGAAGGCACAGAAGGTGGTCGAATGGCTCGTTGTTCCTTGGTTTCTCATGGTGGGGGCGATGACAAGAGGAGGAATAAGGAGAAGCAGAAGCAGAAGCAGGCGAAGCAAACACGGTGATCCTTTGCGGCCAAGACCACTGTCGCGCTCCGGTCGCTCTTCGTTCCGGTTGGAATTTATCAGTAGGATTGTCGCGATCCTTGCTTTCGCCATGGCAGTGCTCCGGGCAACGAGCGGCAGTGCCTTGCTCGGTTTCCCGAGACGGAATGCCTCGCGGTTTTCTTCTTCGGCGACGGCCTTTGTTGGCGCAGGCCCTCATTCCGGAAGACCGGACCGAAGCAGACGACGGGATCCTCTATGGAGATCTGGCAATGATGAGGGAATGGTTCCGCCGCATCTTTTTCGCGTTGATCGATCATTTCGCTCTCCGTCGGCGCCATTTCGTTTCTCCGCTCTCCCGACCCCGCTGTGGACGGCCCTCGGTTCCGCGGGGGATGACGAAGAGAACACCAACAGCGGAGGCGGAGGAGAGGGTGCGGTCGAGAGGCTCTCCTTCCTCCGCAAGGAGCTGGTCCGCCTTGCAGGTGGCCGGACCGATTTCAACGCCAACAGCCCGGCGCAGCGATCGGTGGCCATTTTCGGGGAGGTCCGGTCCTGCACCAAGCGGATCCTCGGGGAGATTGCGAACGCCGGCGGAACAGAGGAAAGCGAGTACGGGGGCCTGTCCAGCGAGAAGCGGCTCCTGGCCGGCTACATCCTCGAGTTTCAGGAACTATCGAAACAACAAGAGCAATTACAGCAGCAGCAGGAGCAACAGCAGCACCAACAGCACCAACAACAGCAGGAACAACAGCAGCAACATCAACAAGAAACAAAATCCCGGAATGCATCCATATCTGGTCCGGAGGGAGGGCGAAAAGACGGGGGCGGGCGTGGGCAGCCACCGCGGAAGCGTCCCCCGACGCACGAAGAAATCGTCGAGGAGCTCTTTTCCGGGCCCTCCTCGAGGCTCGATCCCTACTGGAGAGAGCCTCTCCTAGAGCTCTCACGGCCGTTGGCCAGGGACCTGGCTCGGCAGCTCGATCCAGAATCGTGCCCGATGGGATACGATCCAGACGCCACCCCCAGCACAAGCGCTAACACAAGGCCCTCCGCCAAGGGAGTCCCAAAGCGCGGAAAGAGGGTGGGCTTTCTGGGCTACTGCCGGGACCAAAAGGAACTGTACCCGCAGCACGTAATCCTGGTCCGATGCGGAGATTTCTACGAGACCTTTGGGATCGATGCCATGCTGCTGGTTGAGCACGTGGGTCTCAACCCAATGGGGGGSAAGGCGCGGTCCGGATGYCCGAAGCAAAATATCGGCCAGACGCTCCAGGGCCTCACCGATCGTGGYTTTTCGGTAGCGGTCTACGAAGAGATCGACGAGGCGGTTGGTGGAAGGGCCACAACATCCACGACCAAGAAGCTCAAGCAGCGGTCCCTGGCGCAGATCGTCTCCCCCGCGTCCCCGACCTACCTGTACGACAACTGGCTGCTGGGGTCTGACGGAGCCGAAAGCCCGCAGCGCTCGCTCGATGGCCTTCCCCCGCCCCGACCCTGYGTCGGGATTGTAAACACGGCAGCAGGCTACGCCTACGTCGAGATCTCRMTGGAGGAGCGATCGGTCCAATATTCCGAGCGGCTGACCAGCGAGGCGGTGGCCTGTCGGCTGGCGGCCTATCCCCCCTCCGATCCCCTGCTMTACGTACCGTCGCCGTCCGAGAAKGGCCGCTCCAGAGCTCCCGACTTTCTAGCGGGGACCGGCGGAAGCGCCAATCGGGGCCGRATCAGAACCAGGGTTTTGGATCCAAARCTGGTTCCKGTTCCATCGCCAGGTACCTCCGATRCGGATCGATACGTCCGCGCTGTTGTCGACGAGGTGCTGCGGACGAACGAGTCGCGGGTGTCTGCGAGCRCCGACGGCCCGGAAGACAWAGATGTGGMACTACTCGATAGAGGCCCTGCGGGCAGCTTTGCCGTCACGACGGGATCGACGGCAACCAACCCCCTGTACGTGGAGACTGCGACGCAGCTCGGCCTGATGGACGACGGCACAATCCCGCCGTTGATYGGGTGCGTTCTGGACGACGCGGCTCCGGCTGCCTCCCGCCGGTTCCTCAAGCGGTACCTGCTGATACCGCCCCCCCCAGCCGTGGCCCGGTCCATGGCTTCCGTGGTCGGGGCCCTGACGAACGAGGAAAAACCGGTCTCGCTCCCACCCCTTGCGGTTCCCAACCTAGGAAAGGCCCTCGTGTTGATCCGTGCCGGYCAGGCGGGGGCTGGTGTGTACGGGGAGCTTCTCCAGAGCCTAGACACCACCAGGTACGTCCTGGACATGTACAACGACGACGAGACCGACAACTTCGTCGAGGCGCTATTGCACATGTGCCAGCACGAGAGTGGCATTCYGGCGGAACGAAGTTCCCTATTGGAACGATGCAACGAAGCCATTGGTGCCATCGAAGCTGTCGTCAGCCCGTCCTTTCACGCGGGGGAAGTTCTTTCGGCCGCAGAAGCAAGAGACACTGTCAGCAAGGACGAGTTCGTTCCAGTRGAATTCTTCGAGCGGAACGAGCGAACCTGGCGGGGCCGRGTCAAACAGAGCGTCGCGGCAGATGCCTACGATCGGGTCCGTATTGCCGCGCTCCAGCTCTCCGAGGCGGTGAGGGAAGACTTTATCGGAGGCAAYGAGAGCAACAAGGGGCTGATCAAGTACAACTACTTCGACAACCTGGTTTCGTTGCAGAAGAAGCCCACCGACGGATCGGAGGAGTATAGGACCTACGTCCGTCCGTACGACCGGTTCGGCAAGGTTCTCTCGAACCGGTGGACGACCGAAAGGGTGAAAGAGGCCGTCTCTCGCTACGTATCGGAATGCGACAATGCTGCCAATGAGGTGGCATCCATTCTTTCTGGCCTCGCCAAAACCCTCCAGGACGACGGACACATACCCGCCATTGTTCAGTCCTCTCATCTGAATCTAGTTCTTTCCACCGCCTTTCACCACGCCATCAAAGCTACCAATTCGGGTTGGCAGCTCGCGACTACCATCGAAGATMCTTCGTCTTCCGAGGCGCAATTYGTCGACGTCTTTCCGTATTGGATGCACGAGTCCAGGGCGGTCAAAAACACCTTCGACTTGTCMWCCATGATCCTTCTCACGGCCCCCAACATGTCGGGAAAATCCACGCTTATGAGGTCCACTGCCGCCGCCGCGTTGCTGACGGTGTGCGGCCTCTGTGCCCCYCTTTCCTCCGGTTCRAGAATCTCCCGATTCGATACACTCTTCCTGCGAGGGGCCTCTTCCGACGTCCCAACGGAAGACAAGAGTGCATTTGGTGCCGAGATGGGAGATCTAGCCGCTCTCTTTCGGTGTTCCGGCCCCAAGTCCTTTGTCTTTGTGGACGAGCTCGGCCGGGGGACGTCCCCGAGAGACGGCACGAGACTAGCTGGGGCGGTGCTCGAGAGCATGGCCGACCGTGGAATGAGCGGGATCTTTGCCACCCACCTGCACGGCGTCCTGGATCTCCCGCTGAAGAGGGACAGGATCCTCACGAAACGAATCAAAATCGATCGCGATGAGCGAACCGGCACCGTCGAGTGGACCCACGAGCTGGAGGACGGCTTTTGCACGGATTCCATGGCCCTAGTTACGGCGGAGCGCTTTGGTCTGCCCGAAGACATCCTCCGGAGGGCAAGGGAGCTYACCGAATCCGTCCCGGGAATGATCCAGGGCCAGGACAATTGCGGAGCGCAAAGCACGGAAAACGACAGGGACCCACGAGCGGTCCTTTCGCCAAGCGACGACCAAGTGGCTGGCCATGCGAGTCCGGAAGCCGTCACAACCGACAACCAATGGAAGGAATTCAAAAATCWATGCCATCAAGAATTTCGGGACGTTGTTGGCTTGGCTTCCGAGTTGCTGGTAGAGGCGAATGTCACATCCGTCGAGGTTCCTCCCCGGCACCATCCTCCACCATCCCTTTCTAACCGATCGTGTTTGTACATTCTCCAGCTGGTGCCGAAATCGCGTTCTTCGATTACCGGTGTAAGGTACTACGTCGGAGAGACCGATTCGATATCGAAGCGGTTGTCGCAACATAGAAAGAAGGGTGGTGCTTGGGGCTGTTCCGGGGCTTTCGTCTTCCCGCTTGGGAACAAGAGCCAGGCACGGTACTACGAGAGCGCCCTCATCGGAGAGCTGGCCCGGGCCGGATATTCCCTAGAGAGCATAGTAGACGGCAGAACCCTACGGCACATGCGAGACTAGCGCGGGCCGCCGCCGCTGCTGCTGCTGCTTCGACTCTCCCAGYCTAGTCTGGGTGGAMACAAACGCTCTGTCATTGAGATTAGCATATTCTTCGAATGATTTTTCCTCCATTCCTTASCAATATTACGTGGAATTATCGCTCAAATCCATAAAAAAATTGACAAAAAAGCTGCTRTTCTACTAGCAGAAACCAAGAGATAGTAATGCGTACTACCATTTGTACCTGGTGTCTTTGAACTGTTGTTGAACGAATGAAAGAACTGGGCTTTTGCATCGTGCGGTAGGTCGTAAACATGTGCACTCATAATTCTAGCATGAGCCAGCTGGCRAGATGGTTAAACAAAATCCTGAGCAAAATTGCTTTACAGTACAGCAGTTGCACCATTCTTGCCTCAASTTGCAGTTTTCGTAAAYACCAACTCTATATTTCACAAACAGACCACTGGAACACAAGTTCTAACTCTCCACTTCTTGAAAGCACAAAATGAATACAATTGCTTTGCCACGTTGGACAAGCAGACCAAGTTGAAATCAACATATTTTCTATAGATCTTCCCTGTAATTTGTGAGTAGTTCTTAGATTGCTGGCAATTTTAATTGGGAATGTGAAATTTTAGACTTGTGTTCTTGAGGACAGCATCAAAATTTTCCCAGTGCTGCAGAGCTTTGTGAAGTGATCTTGATCCCTTTTTTAGCTTCCTTCTTCAGGGACTACTAGCTTTATCCATTCAACCTTGACACCATCCACCACATGAAACAAAATATCCATCAATGTTGATAATTTCACAATGCTGGTGGTACCCATTTTTTAGTTTTTCTGACTTGAATGTACATATGACTCCATTTTCTTTGGATCTGTTGACATCTGTAATCCTTTTGGAAGATTTCATTCCACCTGCAACAATATCAGCATCTGACACAGCAGTCAGTAAGCAAGAATATTTCTGAAAATCTGACATGTCTCTATATTTTCTTTTCTGAATATCTTTGGTTTCAGGTTTGTTGAAGCTTTGATTACAATTGTGTGATCTAGCTACCTGAAATTTATATTATTTGAATATGGTGTTTTGAGAAACTGAGAAAATATGCCATCATTTATTGCAGATTTGTCTGCCTTGCTGTATGAGGATGCAGAAGCAATATCTTCTGGGAGTTTGTCCCAAGGTTTTACAATTATTCATGAATTGATCATTTGAACATCATGCTCTTCTTTCAAGCCATTTGTTGTTCTTCAATCACCAAGAAGCTTCCCCCAGACTGCATCATTTTAAAAATTTTGGTTGGTTTTAAGTTCAATAAATGTGTTGTTTTTTCTCTACAGAGATAGAAGTCCTTTTGCATCAAGAGTGAGTCTCCT